ATGAGTGAGCCCCCTATGGCCTACATGCCTGAAGATTTGAATCCTCCTGGGAGGTAAGAGTCTATTTTTAGAATGTCTGTCTATCTCATTCTTATCACAAGTTGGAACGTGATTTTATTGGTACGAATTTTACTCATAGCGTGACCATGTGTCGACTTGTTTATTCGCATGCGATTTTTCGATCTTCTATGTACATGTCACGAGATAATATATTCACTGTATCGTACATTTTTATGACTAGAGAGTTTTGAAACGATTTCTTGAGGACAATTGCAGTTTGGCGCACCTTAATTATTGATTTTTTTGCAAGCAACTGCTTGTTAAAAGCAATAGAGAATACAGGGCCGGGGTCAGGTCAAAGCGGAGAAGTCCGAACAATCGAAAGAGTATAATATTGATACAATACTGTTGACAAATTTCCAAAATTAAGCCCTCTATGATCTCAATACGCCAGGAGGAGTATACTTTTTTTTCTTCCCTATTTTTGTTTTGTTTTTCTGTTCTGTTTTGTCATCTTTTTCTCGTCTAATCGGTTTCTCTATAAATAGTTAAATAAATGACTTTAAAGAATGGGCCCATTCGTGTCTTGTCACGTATTAATGCTTGGAAGGTCAAAAGCTGTCACCATTAGGCACGTAGAATTGATTCAATATCAACAATATTATATAACGCATTTCCGAGCTGTAGCACAAATCACACCAATGTCTATTTGTCTGCTTACAGCTCGGACATTGACCACCACTGAATCGAGTATAAAGTCGACTCTGAACAGCTCCTCAAAGGGATCAGGTGTAATTTCTGACCTTGCCAAACTATACAATGGATTGACTTTAAGCTTCTTTGGCTGCAAAACATCACTGATATTTTTCAACTGAAAGGAAGCATGCACAATGGCTGATATACCCGATTTTGTTGTACTGACTGTGGCTGGAATATTTTTCGTTATTACAGTGATAGTGGGAGTTTGTCTTTATTTTCATTTCTTCAAGCTTCGAAATGACAGTGGACAGGGATCAAGGCGAAGGAGAGAAAGCTTCAAACTAAACTGTGGTATAGTTAACCCGTTTGGGTTTTATATGATGGGTACGGCGCCAGTCGAGATAAATGGACCGCCACCATTTACGATAGAAGTGAACGACGAAAACAAATCGACTTCGAGATGTGTCTTAGAAGAGCATCCTTTGGAACTAAGCGACAAAATGCCCGTATGTAGGAGCGTAAGCTACGAGAAGCCATTCAGGTCTCCGTGTCATCTACAGGTCATACAGGAAACGGAAGAAGAAGACGACGACGAAGCCGAAGAGGTGAACAATGATCGCAAATTTTGAAAGAGAGGAGAACAATCGAACAAGAAAGCATTAGCGAAAGAGGTGCTCAGCGGAGACTTTCACCGAAATGGAAACGAAAGGAAACAACAAACTTAAATATGCACACAACTGATAAAGCAAACAACTTTATATTACCTGCAGAAAGTGGCAGCTTTTATTTGAACAGCGACATAAAAAGTTAGATGTTTGAATGGCAAATCACTTTATGTACATCAAGTCCAAACGCTACAAACCGTCACGACCCCCGTCAGGCTAGTTTAAAGAGCTAACCTCTACCTAACAATAATGATAGCATACCCTTATAGACTTTAGCCTATTTGGCTATTCTAACTCTATAAACATAAATTTTAAAAAAAATCTATTGCATAGTTTTCTTGGGCAATCGTGAGATTCTATATATTCAAGCGGTATCTGTCGGAAAGTTGCCCGTGCTATTTTCAGTAGCTTTCAAAAATACCGGTAATAAACAACAAGATTAGTTTGTGAAAAGAAGAAATATGAACTATCTTTGTTGCAAAAAATCCTGTCAGTACGGTATTTTCAATTCTGGCAAGATCAATCTTTAGTTGTTATTTAATCACTATGATAGCTTCGTACGATCGTCTCAACAAGTTACCTTAAGGTGTTTCCATACACTGAGTTTTTCAGAGGCCATACCGATATTTTTCAATCGCATTAAAAGTGATTTTACCCTTGTCTGATCGCTATAAAAGTTTCACCAGTGATTGACTATAGATCGAAATTTGTCCAGATGTAGGTTTTAGTAAAATCGATACTACTATGACAAAAATAAACAAAAAACTTTGAAATTGATAAAAGCCGAATTTTGCACGATCTAGACCAGCTACTGAAAACCCAACACTTGGAACTTAAAGTTTGGTGTTTAGCAAACAATCTCCGTGAGAAGTAAAAAATTCTGTATGTTTGAATTCGAATAAAACGAAAATATATTTGAAACCTTAAATTTTCAATAGCCAATACAAAACAAGAATTTTTATCAACTCTCCCAAAGGGCTATTCTGAAGTTAATTTACAAATGCTAAAAAGAAGGGGATAAGAAGAAAAAGCTTAAATTAATTACAATCTTGGTGCAAAACTAAAAGCCTAAACTATGCGCGTACAATTACGTTATCTCTTTGGAGATCTAAACTCTGAAATCAAATATTGACTATTTAACGTATGGAGTTTGCTCCCGCAATTCGCGTTTGACGCTCCTCTTAAAGGTACATAGTGACGGGCTATTTCTAGTGTCTGCGGTCACAGAGTTCCAGGCACCTACAGCGCGATAATAAAATGACCGTTCCGCAGTAATTGTTCTGCATAGAGGGAGATTTAGATTGTCCCTTTCCCTCGTGTTGTAGTGGTGTGCGTCTGATCGCTTACTGAGTTTACTACTCAAGTACAACGGAGCGAGGCCATTAACAATTTTGTATACTTGGGTAGTATCACGGACTCATAGCTGATCTTTGATGGAGGGCTACCCTAATTCCCGAAGAACAGGCGAGATGTGATCAAACTTTTTAGTATCTGTTAATACGCGGGCGGCGAAGTTTTGCACTAATTGTAACTTCTGTAGATTTTGCTTAGAGATGCCTGCCCAGACAGTGGAACAGTAAAAAAGTTTACTAAACATAAGAGAATTCAAAATAGTTAACAAGACAGGTTTAGTAAACAGGTGTCTGACCCTACTAATCTGACATAACATGGACAGGAGAGACGATGTTAAAGTGTTTACATGATCATTGAAATTGAGGTATGAGTCCAGTGTAATGCCTAAGTCTTTAACTGAGGATACCAGAGTGAGTTCTTGGTCGAAGAAAGGTACTCTGATGTCTGATACCCTGCTTAGGAGCTGCCTTGTCCCGACAAAAAATGAGTTTGGTTTTACTTGGATTTATCAGTAATTGGTGTGAGCAACACCAGCCAGCAATGAGACCTAGGTCTTCCGGCATTTTTACAAGGCAAGAATTCATGTTTTTAGCCGAAAAGGAACAGCAGATCTTAGTATCGTCAACGTAGGAATCGGTACAGCTGGACTTAACTGCGGAGGGTAGATCATTTATATATAAGTTGAACAACATGGGACCTGAGATGGAGCCTTGAGGCAAGCCATGTGGTATCGTAAGCGCATCAGATAGAGAGGTGCCTAATCGAGTAGACTGCTCGCGGTCGGTGAGGTTACTAATATCGAACCATTTAAGAGCCTGACTTGATGTGCCTAGGCTGCTTAGTTTGAGAAGAAGTGTACTGTGGCAAATACTGTCGAAGGCCTTGCTGAGGTCTATAAGGAACATAGCCGTCAATTGCTGTTGGTCTATAGCCCTGAAGATAAGATCAGTAACCAGATAGCCTGTTCCAGGCTCCGAGATGGTCGGGTCCGCTGAATTGAGAAAGCGCGAAGACGAAAATAAAATGGGAGGAAACTGGGGAGCCCTTTTACTTTCGCGTCTTCCCCACTATCTGAGAGCCTAGAACAGGCTAGTAACCAGAACGATCAGAGTTTCGGTAGAATGGTTCTTACGGTTCCCGCTCTGACGTTGAGTTAGTTTGTCTTGCTTAGTCAGGAAGTCATTAAGTTGAATCAAGGCAATCTTCTCAGCCACTTTAGAAAGGACAGGAAGCTATGAGATCGGCCGGTTGTTATCGGGGACCTTATGATCACCGTCTTTTAGGTGGGGTACAATCACAGACTTTTTCCAAGCCCTTGGGAATTCAGAACAGGCAAACGAGGAGTTGTGATAGATTATTTAATAAAAACGTTATAAATGACTCAAATTATTCTTTTAAGACTCCTCGCTTGCCTGTTCTGACGCTGTCCTGTTCTGTTCTGACGCAACTTAAAAGTTTTCACGTTATGCTAATTTTTCCAAAATAATGCGCACTATACATTCCTTTATGACTAGTACACTTATAGTTTGAATTTATCGCATCTTTTGAATGTAAAACATTGTAAAAATACTCACACTTAAATTTCAATCCATAGTCAATGACTGGTGAAAATTTTATAGCAATCAGACAAAGGTAAAATCACTTTTAAGGCAATTGAAAAAATATCAGTATGGCCTCTAAAAAAAAAGGCTTTCGAAACACCTTTATAAGCTAATCATTTTTTTCATATCGCGTAACGCAATATTAAAAATAGATTTGCCATGGCCACCCTAGTTAAGATATCTCTAAATGTAACTTAGATTCTGTAAAAAAATTATTTATTAATATTTATCATTTAGTCTGAGAGACTTTCTGATGGAAAAACAACTTGCACCGAAAGCGAACTCAACTGTTTTGTGCTTGCAGATTCAGTGCAAGTAAGGGGTGGAAATCTAGATGTCCTCGAGTTTTAGTGTGACCACAAATACTGAATACTCGTTAGCTTTTCAAGTTCGTTCACTCCAGAGAAAGGAATTGTGAAAGCTAGAGAAATACACTATAAATAGTTACGTCATGCAGTGAGTTATGCCCCAACTTAAGTTGCATTTATTCCGGTACTTTTCACAACTAGAAAATGCTGATCGTTCTTTGTGCAACTTCAGTTGAAAGAGGCAGAAATTTGCTTTATCGATGAAATAAAGTATGAAGTAGTTTCTTCAAATAATTATGTTTAGGCAAACTCACTCCTTTACTCTGCTTCCGTCTTGAAACAGCCCTAAGTCTTCTGAATTTCAAGTCTGAAAATTATTTAAGTTTTGAAAGAATAGGGCTACTGGAAAAAAGACCAAAAAACAAGGCGAAGAGGGTTTGAAATCCAGAACTCAAAGACGCACCGGACGATTCGGCAACCGATCCTGTTGTAGGCCTTGTAGAAGTACTTGTTCCAGAGTTGACGCCTGGTGTCAAAGATTCGGAAACTGATCCGCTTGTAGGTTTCGTAGAAATATAAGTACGGGAGATTATATTGGTTTGTTTACTACCTAAGAAGAAGAAAAACACAAAAACATACTACTGTTTAAAAAAATTAAAAAAATAGTAATATTTTAAAAGACAGTAGTGAAATGTCTTAACGCTACCATTAAATGGAGGAAGTTTAATTCATAATACTTTAAACGACTGACTTTTCGATACCTTCTGATCAAAGCACGAAATCAAGAAATCGAAAAGTGTGGCCTTCGAGAATTACAGTGAGAAAATAAACAAGCTATGTCAAGTATGACCAGGTATAGAGGAGTCAGGTGCAGCACTGAATTTGGCTCGACCTTTGGTGACTTTATTTTTCCTAGACCTAATGGAGTCTGTCGAATACATTAAAAGTGCCCCAGACCACCCAAGCTGATATTCGGCATATTTCCAAGTAAGCAATGGCTTGAAAGTGTTTTTTAAAAGTGTAACTTCGAAAAATACTCCAAGATCGTCATCGGGTACGAAAATCCCAGCAACAGGCGCAGTTTTTGCCAACAGTCACAAGTTAGCCGGTCCGTCCCACAAGTTGTGACAAAGAGCTAGTGTAGGAACAACTGCCGTAGTTTTTTTACATCTGTATTTTCGGTACGGTAAAAATAAGTAAATGAATAAATAAATAGTTAAATTTTACTTGTGTTCAGGCGTATTTGTTAAACGAACCTGACGCACCTGTTGGAGACGGTAGAGTTGGTAGAACTGTTTCCAAGCATTCTGTAGTTGTAAAAAAAAGTACATTCAAGCCAGGTTTGAAGAATATTTAACAAATCGACCACATTTTGACGTCCTCTGTGATCTATTTCTGAACAGACCCACGGCAACATGGAATCATTTGTTTTGTAGACCATGGAGAATTGTGGTCGATTTGTTTTTTTGGAATAACATTTATTTTTTACGAAAACCAAAAACAAAACAACCGGCACTGCGTGACATGTTACGTCATTTCCATAGGCTATTCAACAATTATTATTCCTCGAGCCCGAATGGGCTCTGAGTCAATAGCCATGAGGCCGAAGGCCGAATGGGCTATTGATTCAGAGGCCATGAGGGCGAGAGGAATAATTGTTTTAGTAAAATCCAACTAGTTGGTCAAAAATATCGAGAATAAAAAAGTTTAGCTAGTTAAAGCTAGACTTTAATCCCTTTTTAAAAGCCCGCGCTTTTCGCTACTAGTAGGCTATAACATATAGCCTAGTAGAAGCTCAACCAATCAGAACGCAGCATTGATAATAGACCACTAGTTGGATTTTACTAAACTCCAATAGACCATAGCTCTCGAGCTATCAGCGCACGAGGATTCGCTCAGTTCTTGTAAAAATATATATATAATATTTTTACCCGGGATTTTTACGTTACGACCAAGGCAGACTATAAGAAGAAACAAAAAGCAAGCTGCAGGGATAAACATAAGGAAATTTAAACGCATTTCTGGAAAGAAAAAAAGACTTAAACGTGACGTTTCGTATATTCCAGCATACATCTTCAGAAGTAATAAACCGTTGGATAACAACATAAGTTAAATGTAGAATAAGTAAGTAATTAAAGAAACAAAAGATAACATTTAGTAGAAACATTTGCATACAAAAGAAGATGGCATGACAGGAAAACGACAACGGAGCACTTTAAATCCATTACGAGTAGCAATCCCTCATCTGCTGTTGCCTACCAAGTCACGTCAACTGGTCATAATATGAAGTGGGACCATTTCGAAATTTTGGCAAGAGGACGGTCGGACAGACGGACATCCATTGCAAGATAACATAGATAACAGAGATAACAAGATAACAGCAGTGAAAAACTTTACCTTTTTTAATTTCATTCTTTTCGCTACTAGTAGGCTATAACATATAGCCTAGTAGTAGCTCAACCAATCAGAACGCAGCATTGATAATAGACCACTAGTTGGATTTTACTAAACTCCGATAGACCTCTGTATGCAATCTGTATGCAGACGTATTTCCGCTTGCCCGCTTTTCTCCACTCTAACGTTTCACGTCGTAGTCGTGCACTGCTGGTAAAGATCTCCCAGGTAAGGAAACTGATCCCCAAATCGCCGCGAGGCGTTTATTTTGAAAGTCCACCTATTGTAATCGCTTTTACACAAGGAAGAAACCGAGGCAGATGTGGGGACTACAATCTCCATTCCTCTTCAGTTGCTTTTCTAACATGTCTAAAGTGTATTTTTTGTTGGAAAACTGGGGAAATGTCGGTTGATAGCCAGTCCCATTTGATATAGTTTTGAACAAGGAAATTAAATTAACTGGAGTTGATAATTTACCCCACTTTCTTACCTGGACAAAGTCCGCAAGACTTTTTGCAATTTCTAATCATGAAGTCATCATTGCAGGATTCAGGCCTGTTTTGAACTTGATTTGAACAAGATTGTGTATCTCTAGTGTCTGAACAAACTACAACTGAAAAAGGTTGGATTGTTATTAGGATAGCATGATTAAGGTGGCATATTATCTTAAAAGTTGAACCTAGATTCTTTGACTGAAAGCTACAATCTTGGACAAAATAAAATGGAACAGCAAACCCCCATCCCCCCCCCCCAAAATCAAGGATGACGCCGCGCGAAAGGCAAAAACGCGCCATTTTCCCATCCTTGATTTGGGGGGGAGGAGGGGTCTAGGTTTTCCATTTATTTTGTCCAAGATTGTAGGTAGCTACTCAGTGGTGCAGGCTGTCATGAACATTACTGAAATAGCACCAAAGAACAGCATCTACAGTAGGAAATACGACTCCCATAAAACACCTGGGTGGAGGCTACATCTACAGCAGAAGCACGAAAAAAGAACTTTTTGATTCCTTTCTGACGATGGTGATGTGGTAGTTTTTATTGCCCTTCAAAGACTGTTCACTCTCCTCGAATTCATGTTCTCAAACTTTCATTTGATGAATGAGCGAACCGATGAGAGTGTCAAGCCGAGGGCGTCAAAGCGCAGCTCAACAATTTGCGTCGACAGCATAGAATGGATATGCCGCTGGCTTTAATCTGTCTCTGAGCCTCCTTGTCATGAGTTTTTCTTTTTGGAGAACACAATACTGCACTTTTTAAAGTAGTTACTAGTAGTAGGCCAAGATATATAACCAGAACACGCTATCCGCTCTTATACTGCGAAGCGCTTAGCACTGAAAAGTATAGGCGCTATATAAATATTATTATTATCATTGTTATCTTATTTATTATTATTATTATTATTATTATTATTATTATCATTTTATTGTTTTTTTTGCTGGTGTTTGGTACTAACGAGGGCATGGGACTCGACTGTCAGAACTTTTTAAGAACTCTCGCAAATAAGCTTTCGACTAAGGACAATAAACCCTACACCAGCGTTTTTTCCTGGCTTCGAATACAGATCTCATTTGCACAGATGCATCAGAGGTTCTAGATATCCATTCAAATCACGTGAGGTCTCAGAAGACTTCACTTTCGCTGTAGCTGGTCTACATCTGCACTCATAATTTTAGGCCTATATTTTTGATAGTTTTTTTCTTAGTAATGCTTGATTTTCCGTTTCTCACTTTTAAATTATTCACAATTGTAAATAGTTTTCTATCGTGGACATATATTTAGCTTTTAATTTGTAAACAATACGATATAGTTTAAAATTGTAAATATTACTTATTGTTCTGATACTTAATAAAGATTGGTTAATCATTTTATCATTATTATTTATTATTATTATTATTATTATTATTATTATTATTATGAAGAGCGTTCACTGTTCTTAGTTATCGGGCTCTATCTTAGAAGCGTCTTTCACAGTTACCTAGATCTCTGTTACACTACTAAATGATATGTAATCCTTTCTAAACCCACCTCCAAGGTTTATGGTTATGTTACGTTCCTGGCCGATACAAATGATATTTCCTTCATCGTTCTTGGAAACAACAGAGATCAGCAAAGTTGAAAAATAACCAAATGCCAATGTTGTGAATCTAGGATCTGCAGAAAAGAAAACCAAAAAAATCCCAATGAGGGGTATTTTAATTAGTGAAAATCAAACAGGAATTTACACAACAACTGCAGCTTTGATTGCTTGGTTTTAATTATTGGGACTTTCGAGAAAAGGGCCAATCATTCCGGGATAAAAGCTAATCAATATGGGAACGCTGCTGTCACGTCCTCAGCGATACTCCCCAGCAATAGGTTTAATGAGCAAAACAACAACTCTGCACGTGCATCACACCTTTTTGTACATTTCTTAGCGGTCCGTGCACAAGTACGACGTGAAATGACCAAATTTTAAGTTAACTTGGGAACGGGAACGGCAAGGCGATGAATTCTATTATCTCTGTCAGAACTAGGGCGTGGTCCCTTCTCTTCAGCTCCAAACTAAATTCCCTTCTTTTAAGTAACTCGGCCCCTTGGAAAAATCGCAAAAAAAGTGAAAGGATGCGAAGTCTATTTTTCAGCGACGTTTTCATGGACGTCGCCGTTGTCGGATCGTAAGGTCCTTAATGGCCTTTATAAGGGGTACCTTTTTCAGGCTTCAGGGATATAAAATGGTAGGGAATTTACTAGTTGAGGTATGTAAAAGGGTAGCCCGGGAAAATGTCTTTTTTTGGTTGAAAGTCCCAAAAGGACTAACAGGGGCATTTTAGAGGCTGTGATTCTGGAAAGGCAGAAAACAGTCAAACGCCGCTCTAAGGACACCCGCTAAATACGGATACCTCGCTATTACGGACAGTTCTCTTTGTCCCTGGGGAAAGAAAGCCCTTACTTTCTACGACTACGACCCCGCTTTGTTTTTGGTTCTTTCGGTGTCATGTTAATGTCTTGCAAAGTTAATTTTCACGTAGTAAGATCAGCTTTGCAGAATTCAGTGTGTCTACTCAGTGTGTATTTTTGCTGGTCAGGTCTTTTATAGATCCTACGTTTTGCGGCATACAGTCGACTCTCTCTTAACGGACACCTCTATAAGACGGACACCTCTGTAAAACGGACACCTAGAGTTGGTCCCTGTCTTTCTTTACTCCCTTTATTTGACTCTGTATAAGACGGACACCTCTCTAAGACGGACACTTAGTGCCGGTCCCAAAGGTGTCCGTCTTAGAGAGAGTTGACTGTATTCGTTTACGGTCCTCTGCAGTTTAAATGTCAATTTCTTACTTTCTTTAAATTTAACCCCCGTTAATACGAACACTCAATGCCCTCCGTAACAACGATGTTTGACTGTACCGTGGTTCTTTTCCTCGCTGGAGGAGAGCTATATATTTTGCTTGGTTTTGTGTTTACCTTCAATCTTTTGTCCGGTAGAATTTAACCAGGTGACATTGCCGGATTGATTACAAAGTAGTGTTGCATTGCATCCCTCTTGCGTGTTGAACGTACTTAACAGTGAACCTGTAAAAAGAACATCACGTTTCAGTCGTCAGTGTATCCAGGTGTGGCCCCGATGACGTCTGAAGAAAAAAGCGACTTGTTACTGTATATACTTCCGTAATTATATATATTGGTCAATATGATCAAAATGATAGGAATGCTATTTTAAACGTTGTGCACCACCAGGCCCACAAAAACATATAACAAAGAAGTCTGAAGGGCTGCCGGCTTTCCATTCCACTCTTAACTATGATACATCCGCCGAAACGTCTTAGCGGTTTCCCGGGTTTGTAATGACGGGCTTCCAGTTAGGCAATAGGCCCTGTTATGGCCCGCCACTGGAAGGTGAGACTCCTCCCGTCTTTACATAAACATAAGAAGAAGGAGATTAAAGCTCACTGATGCATCTTAAAAAGAATTTTCTAATTCCTCGACGGTCCTCGACGCATGGTATTTAACGCCTCGTCTTGGGCTACAGTCTTCATAAAAGTGAATAAAAAATATAGGTTCGAAAAAGGGCCAATGAATATTTTTTTAATGCATCAATGATAATAGAATAACTCCAATTGAAGAACTAAAAAGTGATATTCGTTAGGGGCTACTCAAGTCGCCAAGTGCGTTACCTTTAGAGCAGAAATTTTACCTTCAACGCCAACGACGCTAGCGAGGCCCTGAGAACAATCAGAGAGCGACAAACAGGGACTCCATCTTTATCGTGCCAGACCACGCGACAAAATATGTCGTCGAAGTCAGGTAATAATGCCACATCCCGATAATTATTCTGAAGACACGGCATTGTAGTGCTTCGAAAAATTATGTAACACCACTCATAGAATGCATTGGCGCATGGTGGTTTAGAAGATTGATCATGAAGCTTCCTTAAGACCTTGAACGAAAAAGACTCGACTCATCAAAAAATCCGTGAGACGATATGAAATCAAGATCAACTAAACACTCCACGCTTTCGTTGACACGTTTAGCGATGTAAAAATATTTCTCTTATCTATCAGATTTGTCTTCGACATCCTCAAATATTTGCTTTATTGGAGTGACTCTATACAATGCATCGTGTAACATGAAATCCAGTTAGCAAACAAAACTGATAATTCTAATAAGATTATTTACTTGCCTTTTCCGAATGCAAATAAAATCCAAATAAATGCCACAGAAAACGGGAGCCGATTTGCTTTGCTTGTCATAATGCAGTAGATTGGATGTTGCGAACAGGTTCCAGCACGCGAGCTATTTCGACCGATTTGTACCGAGTAAAGTACAACAAAATAATGTTGTATATTACAATATTCTATTTCGGTTCCTGAGCTAATAACAGCAGGTGTGGCCAAACATCTCAATAGGTCACCGAATTGTCAATACAGTTTTGCTTTGAATATTTTATAACTTATATATTAACAGTAGACGAACAAAGGAAGTAATGCCACAGCATATCAAAGCACGGAAACATTGCTAGCATACTTATGTAATTCATCACACGACAAAATTTTGTTTGTTGCTATTAAAGAGATACAAAAAATATAAAAATTAAAGAAGACTAATGGACATATTATACATTAATTTCCCAAGCCGGAACCCACACTAAGTAGATTGTAAAGAATTAAAACAAACAACGTGTATATAGTCATACAAAGCTAAGCCCTGCTAAATGTTATGCTAAATGAGTCTTTTGTCGTCAATTGGAAAGCATTATGCTGATGACGTCACAGTCGTGACGTCACTTGGTGGATTTGTTTACAGGTTTTCTTTACGTTACATATGTAGTACGTCTTTCCGTTGGTGTCATAACCACATCACAGTCCCGAACACGAATGACTTCATGTTGGGGCTTTGCGAAAATTTTTCTCCTGATTTTATTTAATCGTCGGTTATTCATTTCTTAAAAGCCAGATAACAGCCTTCTTAAAAGCCTTATTATGGTTCTTTAGAAAGTGAATAGCGTTCCCTGCTGCATACGAACAAGGACACGAAATTCAAAATTCCAGGCCAGAAAGCGTGGTTACCTATCTGGCTCATTCCCAGGGTTCTCTCCTACTCTGCCTTTCTACTTGCCTCTTTTTTAGCTCCGGGGGACGTACAGAAGAGAACCCTGGGGATGAAGTTGCGAGGCAGGCTTTTGAAAGGGAGTGGGGAAAGAGTGAATACTCAAGCGTGCGAGAACGAAACAGACGCGCACGATGTCCGGCATCCCGTTGTCACCCAGTGTATGAACTCAACACTTTGCCTGCGTGCAGACGTCTGCACGCAGGCAACTCAACACTAGGACTAAGATTAGCAGTGGGACAAATGGTAAAATACCTAGTAACTTTCTCCACCGCCCATTTGTTATCTAGCTAACCCTAGATAACAAATAATAATATAATAATAATTAAATAATAATGTATTTCATAAATCACAGATCGGTTTCTTTCTAGAGAACCGCACAGCTGCAGATCATGTCTTCACCCTGAGAACTTTGATCGACAAGTATGTCTAGCCGGATTTTTGATAAAGTTATCGCTATTATAGTAGTAGCTATTATAAATACTAAGAGTTCAACCATTGCTTTTTTTTTTCTTTTCCTCTTTTCCTTCCCCTCACTCTTTCTTTTTTGCTTTCCTTTTCCTTCGTTATTATGATTTTGGAGCTTCTCGGGCTTAAGAAACATGCCCTTTGACGCTTTTTCACTCCAATGACTACAAATGTCGTTAGGTTGGTTTTCAAAAAATTGGCTTGATGTACATCAACACACATCAACAACATTTAAGCTTGTTTTGGAGATTTTAAGAGAGCTTTCGACTCAGTCTGGCGCAACGGACTTCTCTATAAACTACTAGAGATCGGTATCGGTGGCTGTTAATGTACCATAAAAATAGGTCAAATGTCTTCACCCTGTACATCAATGACCTTCCATTTGCGTTTGAAAGATTCTCAGGTAAATTAAGGCATGGGTCAACAGCCATTTTCCTGTAAAAATGAGGGGGGTGGTCTATAGTATGAATGGTTTATCATGAAGCAGAAAATACCCAAAAATATTACACAACACCCAAATTGATGCTTTAAAACAGACCAAAATTATGCAAATTAAGTCACGTGACCTTACAGCTCCTCAAAGTTTCAAAATATCTTTAAGAAAAAATGGGCACACTTTTTAGCAAGAGTTATGTTACTTTACTACCCTAAGAAGATACAAAATATAAGCCGCTACAAAACTGTGCTTGGCAACTTTCAAATATCTCATCTATTTTGAAAATAAACGAGTTTTTCGACTAGTACCCAGTCTCCCAATACAAATGTATCATTTTAACATTCCTTTCCTTTGAAAACTCTTGACATTGCCAAGCGCAGAAATGACACACTTAACGGCCTTAAAATTATGAAACTAGTAGAAAAATGAAGGAAACAAGAAAAAGTGTGCCCATTTAAGTTCAAGGGTTTTTTGGGCGTGGCGTGTCACATGACCTTATTTGCATAATTGGAGCATACCAAATAGATAGAAACTAGCTGTTTATGTGTCTGACAAGTTTTCAGCTTGCCACTGCTAATGTATCGAAAGATAGACCGCCCCCCCTACTTTTTGACTTAACACCTGGGGACCCATGCCTTAATTACCTTGAGTTTTATCTGATCCTGTCGTTTTACCGAATGGCACAAAATTAAACTCCCTCCTATATACGGATGACCTGATTATATTATCAAGATCTAAAGCAGGTTTGCAAAACTGCCTTCTTTTAGCAGCTCATAGATGCTAGAAATGAATTATAAGTATACTAAAATTTCAGAAACGTGCAAGGATAACTTTCACATAAACGTTCAAGTTGTAGCCTTAACTAGAAATTCAACCAATTGGAAAGACTTATTGAAAATTCGTACAGGCGACCACAAACTCTCATGGTTGAAACTGGAAGATATAATCAAACTCCCCACAACGATAGATTCTTCCCTGGGTTTGTTGGTATGACAGAAGACGAATTTCATTTTCTTTTGCACTGTCCAATTTATTCAATCCCAAGGGAAAAATTCTACAATCAAATCCAACATAATTTTGTCAATTTTAATCAGCTATCTTGCACAGAATTTTTCTCTAAATTCATTGACCATTGCAATCATTGCATTGTAAGCATTGTTTTTTAAAATTGGGTTATTATCCCTTTTAATTGTTAGTATTAATTGTAACTTAATCTTAACCCTTTGTAATACTGTAACTTCATATAGTCATGCAAATAAAGCTTATGTTGATGTTGTTGTTGCTATCAAATCTAAACAACATATGGCGTTAATATCAATACAGAAGCTGTGATAGCACCTCCTCCACGTTGAGTCCCATCAGAAGAGTGATGCGGCTCAAGGTAAGTGAATCAGTGAACATAAATCAGTTACCAATTGACTTTACTTTTCTTGAAAACGAAACAAACAACAACGAAAAATGTTTACTCCACTAGAGGCCAAAGAAGACATTGAGTAGGGGCAATTGTGTTCAACTCCTATTTGTAATATGCTTTACTTGTATCACTTGTTGCACAGTTATAATGACTTTCAAATTTCAGTTTTTGCCGTATACTTGATTCCCATCTTGGACTTGTACCCCTGTTCCAGGATATGGTGGACCAGCGTTTTGCGTTTGTCCTGTTACTGGATATGGTGGAGAAATTGCTTGTGGCCCAGCTCCAGAGTAGGGTTGAATGGTGGTTTGTACGCCAGCTCCTGCAGGGTAGGGTTGTGAAGCGGTTTGTATCCCAGCTCCAGGGTAGGGATGTGTAGTGGTTTGCATGCCAGCTCTAGGGTAGGGTGGAAGAGTGGTTTGCACTATCCCAGCTCTGGGGTAATGCACAACAGCCATTTGCCCATTTCTTCTTCTACCCCTCCACTTAGCAAGTGGACACTTAGACCAACAACAACACACCAAGAGTATCACAACAAGTAGCGCAACTCCTCCGAGTATGATTCCTACCAAGGCCTCAACACTGAAAAAAAAGTTTAAATTAAGAATCGTGATCATTCTAGTTGTCTGCAAGAATCGAGTAATACCAGGACAAAAGTTAATGAAATTTGCAACCTCGTCCCCAGGGCGCTTTTCTCTGGCTTTGGAGGTGGGGCGGGTTCCCGCCGCACCTCCAAAGCCAGGGAAAAGCGCCCTGGGGACGAGGTTGTGAAATTTGTGATCATAGAAGGAGTCCGAGGAAAGGGTAACGGATGTCATGGTGCTAAACTGTAAAATAATCCGTCTGTGAATGATCCAAACAATCTTATCTCCTTATTCCAAAAAACAATTCAAAGGCCAATGAAAATTTGAGAGCATACGGTGGCTTCGGAATCCGCTGACCACAAAGAATGAATCCATTATCTTCTCTTGTCACAAGAAAAACCACTTTTAAAACGTTAACTGTTCTTCTCTATAAACTTTTTTCAAAAAAGTTTCAAACACTCATTTTTTGCTTAAGGCTACGATTTAAGGCTGCTTTAGCTTGACAAGTTGAATTAAAAGAAAAGTTTCGAGCACGAAGTTTTAAAAATTTCTTCAGAGGATTATTTTAGAAATTTAAAATGTGGCCTTGACCTCAGGGTGGACGTCGACGGAATAAAATGAATAAAACACAAAGCTTCGTCTTACCGAGGTCTCAAAATCTTTAATGTGACAATTAATATTTATCTTTAGTAGCACTGCGCTCAGTGCATTCCTAGGTAAGTTACTCTATCAATTCATTTTATTTTAGAATGTTCTCATAAAGCGAATTTTTACCTTATAAGTAGCTCGCAGCATTTTGGCTGGTTGTTTATGATACAGCAAAGACGGTCATTTTTGCCATCTGTTGGGGAAGGACAATAATTACGCAACGCTCTTCCACTGTCACTACACGTGGACCCTCCAGGTAGACAGCAAGAGCGACTGCCGAACCAAGAACAACATCGTGTGCGACCCGCGGGGTCACTGGGCCGAGGGCAGCTGTATGTACCACAGCTTGTAAGGCCACGTGTAACTGTGAAAACAAGAAAACAAAGTTGTTCGTCTTGACTTGTCTGTTGAAATGGCATCAATAAAGCCTTGTAAAATGACAGCGATTTTTTGTTGAAATGGCATCAGTCAAGCTTAGAAAAATGATAGCGATTTTCTGTAAACAAATCTATCTAGTCCGGTAACAGGCGTGGTTCATGCGTGGTGCGTTTTATGGGACACGATAATATTCAGAATCCAGACGGGCAAGAACAGAGGAAGTTAAATTCACTTTTTACCTTGAGTCATTTAAATAAAGTTATACCTATTACAGCGTCTTCACAGCCTGCCCCGCAGTCGAAACTAAGCTCTGGTGTTAAATAACGTATGAGATGCAGGCTACTTGTTCAGGCTCCATAACCACTCAACTTTGCTATCGCCGGCCCATCCTGACCGCGCTGCCTCTTACTTCCTTATACCTACCCGCCAGTCCTTCGCGGACGCGGGGAGGGGGACATTTCTTTATTCGCGTACACTTAGGATTGGGTACGGGTTTTCTTTCTCTTCCCGACTAGAACAAGGTACAGGGAAATACGTACGGGTACCAAGTACCATCCCCCACTAACTCCCCATACCCTCTGGGATAAAACACTTATACCTAGCTAGTGCTCAACATACAGCCGTTTGGATTACTTCCCTGTTGATGTCTAGAACTGCGCCGAAATATTTCCTTTACCTTAGTAACGGTAAGAAATGCACCGTCACGTTTTGGTAAGGAAAAAATATCGCTGTAGTTAGGAAAACTAAGCCGTTATTTTACTTGATGACTTCTTATCTCAAGTGGGCATTGTCTTGACCAAAGAGTAATCGGAAACACATCATCATCATCATCATTATTATTATTATTATCATTATTATTATTCATTTTATAAATATCAACAAGTCTTTATTGCTATAAGGAACGTTTTTGGAATTTGAAGAAACTGCTGAGTCTACTGCTTCTTAATTTTCACTGAAACGTTTTAGTGTAACATTTTTCTTGCAACAATTGTCGGCTGACACAGCGTTTAGTCCATTTGTCTCTTAATTAAAGATTCACAGCTTGCTATTTGTAAGAATACTAAACGGTTTTTCCTCGATCCACTGGATATCACACCGACCTAAACGTTAACACTATACTATGGACTTCATTTTCTGGTTATTGTTTTCTTTGAGGTCTTCCCAGTTTCGAAGTGCTATTTGTAGATTTGTTACACCAAATTTTCATAACTCGCTTATTTGGAACTGATATAAATCAGGAGCACCTAGCCTGAGATCATGCCCTCTCCCTATTATCCCTTTATGTCTCTCACGGGAAGAGGGCATGATACATTTCTTTGTCGGATCACATGTAAAAAAGCCAGAATCTGGACTTTTTTCTGATTGGATAGGAAACAATATGGATGATTTGCGCTGTTCCGATTGGCCAAAATGCCGACATCCGTTAGTTGTTGTGGATTTCAGTCTGCATTTTTGCTTGCGAAATGAGCAGTGAATACACACGCGAGTTCGTTTTGAAATTTCTGCCGGCTCAGTTTTTTTGAATTTGAAGAATGCCTAAATAGAAATTTCATCCATTGAAATATTTTCCATCTCATCGTATACTAAAAAGTTGCAGTCAAAAATTCACCGATCATTTGAATGCAATTTGATACCGGCTACAAGATACAGAGGCGACAAACGGGTTCACTTTTTAAATAATCAATTCATGAATGGAATCTTGACCAGGTTTGACTGTAATTCCTCCTTCAGAAGCCTGCGAATTATTCTGAGCGATCGTCGCTTTCACAACACTTTTCAGTTCGTGAAATATAGTGCTTCGGCCTAATTTTTTTTCACTGCTTTCGACACAGAACGAAGTCAACGAGCTTTTGCCAGTAAATTCTTTATTATTTGTAGCTGTTGAAGGTATGGCAACTCCAGCAAGCAGTATTTCATCAGAAAAACAACACATTTAAAAATTTTTTTAGGAAGCGCCATCTGAACTCTTTTCCCTAAAACTGATTTCAAAAGAGACATTATATTATTCGCGCCAAAATTTGATTCCCGTCTTGTAAACGCTGATTGGCTAATAACATGACAGGTCAAGCAGACGTTAGACTATGTAAATAAGGAGGCGGTTGACGGCTTGTTAAATAAATGTATCAGGCGTTATTTTTTTCCCCTCGAGGCAAAGAAGCAAAGAAGCAAACAAAGAAAAAATAATAAAAAAAAACGCCTGATCTCAGGTTAAGGAGCACCCAACGAGACTATAGTTCAAAACCACTTAAACATAGCATTGTTAAACGTATTTTAGTATTTAAACCGTAGATATCGGCACATTTTTATCTCCTAAAAATTTTTCATCTGTTCGGATTTCCTAGCTGAAAGTCTAGTGATACGAAAATAATAGGGATCAAAACTTACCTTTTCGAAAATTTCAGCCAGAAAAAAGGCTCCCGAAAATTCTAGGTGACCTTTTTAGGAAAAAATCCGTTAAAAATGGGCAATTATACCATGTTGTTAGATCAGTGTTCGAAAATCCTAGGAGAGGCAGACAAGCAAGAAATTTTACAACAAATGTTTCGAAAATTCTAGATCTCAAATCGTCTTCCGAACAGATATTTTCCGAAAATTGACGTTGGTTGCCCCTGATAAATTGCGATAATGATCAACAGAACTTTTTGCTTACCTGTGGCCAAAGAGAGAAATACAACAAAGCCTGCGAAGAAAACACCTTTCATTATACGGTCCTGGTGCGCTCGGTACCCGAGGTAAATAAAGCTGAGCAAAGAAATCGTGGAATGATGACTTCTATATAGCTGTGACTCGGTTCGAATTCCGTTGTTTTACTGACTAAACGGAAGTCAGTAAAAAGTTGACAAACATATATTGGCTTAAGTGCTTTCATGCGGATTGTTTTTTGTTTCGCTGGTCATAAAATATTTACATGGTAACTATCTATTTCTGCTGCTGAGACAAACTAAAGACAAACAGGAAAGCTGATTAAGAAGACCATCATTTCGCTAGAAACTTATGGCATACCACCAGAGGCCGGGTTATATGCTTCTGATACTGGCACTTACAGAGGGGATCGATATACTACCACATCGTTTTCTACGCTGTCGCGGACACTAAAAGGCTGAAAAGGGTTCTGTTACCTTCTGAAACTTAAGCGGAAACATACGCAGTGGTGTTGCAAAAACGTTATACGATGACAATACAAGCTGAACATTTGCCAACATCACCATCAATATTCTATTTGTCTTAACAAAAAAGAAGAGAACAACACTTAGTTACCTAATTAGGCAAAACCTATCCAAATATTAAAAACTACTGAAACTGGCTGATTAGTCCATAAAACAATATCAGACCTTAGAAAATAGAAAAATTGACTGAAAATGCTAGCAAGTAGGGTAATGAAACTAGGGGGCACACGTGTATGATTTCGGAAAGTGAGTCTGCTAGCAGGCTATGATCAGGAACGAATATTTGTAGAAGGGTGTATCAGAAGGAAAGATAAACAACTACAGCGAGGTCTACTGAACGCAAAGGAAAACGCTTTCATCATTTACACAAATTATTTCATGCAGGAAAACAAAAGTGCAAATTAAATTTTCCATAATTAGTTCTAAATTAATGGCTATAAAACGTTTTGGCGTTATACAAAGAGTTTGACAGGGTCTCAGCCAGAAAGGATCGGATATCAAGCAAGTTCAGGTCCTTGGCAAAGTTTTACTTGACAAGAAAACAATACAACCTCCTCTAAGTTTCCACTATCGTTCTCTTGCTTACGAGAAACCTTCTTTTTACATTCTAGTTACATAAATAAATTATACACATTTTAGCGTCAATCTAAGTTCTTTATGAGACAGTTTTGACTTTTAATTTCAAAAAATTAAATTGAGATAAAATATCCTCTTGGAAGAAATGTCAATTGGCATTATTGTGGTCTCCTTGGGAAGACTGTGGTAGCGATAGGTGCCTTCCAGGGTAAGGTACATCAGTGGTTTGCATTTGACAATGATATCGTGGAATGATGACGTCTATAAAGCGCTGACTCGGTTCGAATTCTGTGTTTTTACTGACTAAACGGAAGTCAGTAAAAAGTTGACAAATATATATTGGCTTAAGTGCATTCATGCGGATTGTTTTTCGTTTCGCTGGTCATAAAATAGTTACACGGTTACAATCAATCTCTGCTGCTGAGATAACTAAAGACAAACAAAATATTTCCTTGGAAGAAATGTCAATTGGCACAATTGTGGTCTCCTTGGGATGACTGTGTTAATGGTGGGTGCGTTCCAGGGTAAGGTACATCAGAGGTTTGCATTTGACGTCTCTTTTTGCGTTGAGCCAGCGGACATTTGGACCAGCAGCAGCACAGCAAGATGCCCATCGCAAAGAATAGGATTGCTGCAGCAATTAATCCAACTGTAGTCTCTGTTCTAAAAAAGAAACGAACGTAATTGTGTTTAAGTAGGTTACTAGAGAGACCAAAGGGGAATAAGCAGGAGCACCCAATGACAGTTTTCTCCTAAATACATTGAAAACACTCAGTTAGCCTATCCAGAGTACTTTTAGATCTATAGAAATGCATTCTTACTGAAGCGGCGCTATAAAATTTGTACCTGTTCGGTCAGCCTAGGGGAACTTGAGTCTTTTCAAATTACCAAGGGCTTCAGTATTATTTTCCCGAAAATTTCAGATGCAATTTGACATCATTGCGAAAGTGAAAATTTTTCTGATTCCTCTCTCCGCACATTTTTGAATCCGAAAATTTAGGTCTCCTTTTTTGTACGAAAAGTATTCTTACCTGGGCAGTGAAATGTAAAAAATTAAACTTAAAGAGAAAATCCTAGGGAATTTATTAGATAAGCTTCAAAAATTGTCCATGAATGGAATGGTAATCTAGAAATTTTTAGCCGTCCTTAATTAAGTAACAGAGTAATAGAAAATTCTAGGTAATATTTGCGTCTCCGAACAGATATTTTAGAGAAAACAGTCGTTGGGTGCTCCTGAATAAGCCTTTCAATAAGGTACCGTAAAATTCCGAAAATAAACCCCGGGGCTTATATTTTTCAAAGGCCCTTTTTGAGGGGCTTATATTCGGAGGGGCTTTTGTGCGGAGGGAAATCGATTGAACTAGCTCGTAGTGGGAAGGAGATTTACCATTTATTGCTTTGTTTTACTTCTGTATTCGAGGGCAAACTCTAATTACAAGCCCCCGCGGGGATTATATTCGGAGGGGCGATTTAACGGAGGGTCTTTTGCGTTACGATTTTGGGGAGCTTATATTTGGAGTGGCTTATTTTCGGAATTTTACGGTATCGTGTAAAGGAGAAATTTTCTTTTTGGTCTTTTCTTCTACATTTCCTTAAAAGCGATATATGAAATGCTCGTCTCCTTATACGGAATATTTATTAATAAAAAGCAGCTTCCCTAACAATCGAAACGTTTGAGGTTATATAAGTTTAAGGTTATAATTAAATGCTTTGTTGATCAGTTCATCTTTCAGCAGCATGTTTAAAAGTAAAATATTGTTCGAGTGCGGCCTTAAACTACTGATTGGAAAATAAAAATAAAATATAAGATGCTTAAATTTATATTTTATACCTCTCATACATACCTTCCTCATTCTTTCGCATTTTACTTAACACCAATTTTTTAAAGATGTGGCTCCTTCATGCGCAATATTTTCTCTTCCCTAATGATGCCGTTAATTGATAGGCAAAAGCTCGGATTTTGATTTTGATTTTTAATTACAGCAGTTAAAGGTCTCATTCGAACAGACATGCATGTAAAACAACAATAATGTCTATTGACAAAAAGACATTAGTCTTTAATACACGATTAAAGAAAAACACTTTTTTTCCTGCGAACACGAAATCTTTTAATTTGTTATTCTAAGCAACATTATTTATTTGCAAATCACACAAAAAAGGGAGTTATATTGCAAGGATAATTTAACTATACGAATACTCTTCGTTAGTATTAAGATCAAGAATCTTCGGCTATACCTTAGGTGTACTTGGCAGCACTTTGCCTTATTGTTAATGATACAACACACTCGATTATCCTTGTCATCATATGGACCTGGGCAATAATTACGGACATGGCCGCCCTGCTGCTCACTGCAAGACAAACCTCCTGGAAGGCAGCAAGAAGGAGCACCATACCAAGAACAACATCGCGTCTGATCCGGGGAGTCATACGATCGAGGGCAGTAGTAGGATCGTAGGAATCCTTTAGCATGACACCTGGTAAGACTATGCACTCCTGAGAGGAAATGGTACGTGGTACTTTTAATAAGACTGTGACTGAAATTCATGACAACCAATTTAATTTTTTTCGGCTTTCCAGGGCCCTGTAACTATTGAGACGGTAATTTCCCTCTCGCTATAAGTAAACGATTCAGACATTTGTAACTTGAAAACTATAAAGTCCGGACCGTTAAATGTTGTACACGTTTAGGGAGAAATTATTTTCTTACCACTTCGGATAACTTTTCATTATACCAATTTTTCTTACTTGGGTCAATACTCTTTATACCCTCACAATCATAAACGTCTGTTTATGTCGAACGATGTAACAGTTAACCCAAAATGTAACATAAGCGCAAAATGTAACAACTTTTAACGCAAAAAGCATCAACTTTTTAACACGAAATGTACCAACCTTTTTGTAATTCAAAAATTATGTTACGGTTCACTCTTCGGCCGCAAATTTGAATGTAAAACTACAATGTAGTTAGGGGCGTAAGCCGTTTAGAATTGACAAGAGGCCCACTCTGAGGTAAATATTATTAATTAAAATACAAATTGGGTTCAGAGAAAACTATTTCTTCTCATTTTTCCCATTAAGTTCATTCTTAAGTTGTTACAGTTAGATGTAAAGTTACGTTTTGTTTCAAAAGTTGTAACATTTCGGGTCATAACTACATTGCTACAGTTTTCGACGTAACAACTTCCCAGCTACCCCGGATCCTTACGAACAGTGTGTGGGATCTGTAACGTCCCACAGAATTTGTTCACGAAACAGTTGTTGTTTAGCCCGTGTAGGGTGAGTAAATTAAATTCGAAGTACCGTTTGCAGAAGTCATTTGAAAGGACGTTAGTTTTTCACCAGGTCAGCAAAAACGACAGTCTAAGTTCATAACTCTACAGGAAACCACGGATTACCTCATTTTTCCGTCACCGGATCGCCGTATATGAAATATCCTCTGCCTATATTTGTTTCAGAATTTTGGCGATACTGTGTATATATCTGCTGAATTGGAACAGATCCCGATCAGAGACAAGCCTTCTCACAGCAGCCGCTGGTAATATCATGAGTCTGTCATCTGTTTTAAAAACATTTCGTATTTGCCTGTTAAAAAGCACGTTTTATCTTCTGACCTTCGACCTTCTTTCATAATATACCTTTACGTGCTTTTCCATCGTCTTTTTTCAACTTTTGTTATGGGATAGTTAGTGGAAATCCGTCGACAGCGCTGAAAAGAATGTCTTGAAGTCAGTTAAGCTGCCAAGTTTGACTGACAGTGATTTGTTGAAAACAAATGAAGGTCCACAAAGTCAAGAAATTTTAAACTTTGCGAAGACTATATCTTCGTTCCCTTCAGACGTATCACTTTCAAACTTGGCAATATTACTAAATAAATATTATGGCGCTCTTTCTAGCAGTGTCGATGGATATTCATTAACTAGTCCTTATCAAAACTTGGGGGAAAAAATTAAAGAATCCATGTTGCCCAAAGCCGAACAGTCAGAACAGTATGCTTACAAAACCCAATAACGAGCTCCAAAAAAAATTACACTACATACAAAGTTTTGCAATTAAACCTTTTTTTTGTTATTAAAATATTTAGAAATGATAAGTTATGGACTATTATGAGAGTTTTTTCCTATTCAACTATTCACAGAGATCTTGTTATTTGAATTTGCCAAAATAAACTCAAAGGTATCCTTGCGTTTTTTTTATAAAAGGTCTTCAAACTAGAACAAGATTTGATTAAAAATTAAAACTTACCAGAGACCAGGGAAAGCAAGACAGTGGCTATGATAAAATGATGCTTTCCCATATCTTTCATGCTCTCTGGCGTCAGAAAGTGCTGTAAAAATATTTGAAAACCCGAAGGAGCTATCATCAACAAACAACAACAGCAACAACTAATAATAAGCCAGCTCAGATCCTACTAATTAGTGGCGTGCATAGAGGGTGACGGGAATGGTACCCGCAGTAACTTCTCACGCCGATGGTTGAGGGTCCTCAAAATCTCAAGTTCAAGCTCAAGTTTTGTTTTTATCTGAGACAAAGATTGACAGGTCCTATCCTAACCTCGGGGGGGTGTTACTCCGTTACTCCTCATATGTAAGCTCGTCTGCGGGTCAATCCGCATTGTTTCGGCAGGCGGCAACCAGATGACTCCAGTAGTAGCGGTCTTCGGGAGCGTGTCGTATTTCTCGCTCCATCGGTGCTATGGAGCCTCCCGCAATGACCCTTGAGATGTATTGCAGAACAAAAGTTTCTGCCCGCCAACGCTTCGTTTCCCTTCAGATGGTACATACAGGGCGACTCTGATGATAAGATCCTCCTTGTCGCGGCGAAGTGAGTAGCCAAGGCCAGCACCTTCACGATTTCTGCCTGTATTAATTAAAATGTAGTACCCTAGGTCTTCTTGGAGGCAGACTTTATGTGAAATTGTTTAGAGATTTTTGCTTTTTTCCGCAGTTCATATCATCTTCATTGTATACGTAAGTTTTGTTTGATCTTACCTTTTCGAAAATTTCAGCCAGAAAAAAGGCTCCCGAAAATTCTAGGGGACCTTTTAATGGTAAAAATCCGTTAAAAATGGGCAATTATAGTAGTTTTTAGATGTTCGAAAATCCTAGGAGAGGCAGGCAAGCAAGAAATTTTGCAACAAATGTTCCGAAAATTCTAGATCTCAAATCGTCTTTCGAACAGATATTTTCCGAAAATTGTCGTTGGGTGCCCCTGATCATGATCATATCTCACCTTAGTTAACTGAATAGCAACATGGTTTTGTTAAAGGTCGATCTTGTCAGATTCAATTGTTTCCAATCATCAATGGGCAGCTGCTCTTGACGAAGGAAGACGAGTCGATATGGCCTTTTTGGACTTTTACAAGCCCTTGATGGAATGAATCATTTAGTTTTACCGTAGAAGCTGTGAAACTTTGGAGTTTTTGGCTCACTACCACATTGGTATGAAAATTAAGTAATCGTCGTCAGTAAGTGGTGCTAGATGAAGTGTCTTCTTCTTGGTCAGATGTCTCAGTTGGAGTCCCTCAGGGCTCTATATCAGGGCCTCTATTTTTTGTTTTATGCATTAGCGATCTTCCTGAAGTTGTTCATCCTGGCAAAACAATTACCCTTTATGCAGAGTACTGTAAATGTTCTTGAATCATCGACACTGTTGGTGATCTTGTCACAACAAGAGCGGGATTATCTCAGTGTTGGATTATTGCCTTTCCTTACAGCGAATCTGTCGAAGGATGGGTTCTTAGAACGCCTTTTTTACTTTCCCCAACAAACTCTTGCTACTCTAGCATTGCATTTCGAAAAGAGAGACAATCTCACGAAAAGTCAGTTCTTGCTTAAAAGAACAAGTAAACCACCAAAATAAAATCTGGTCTTGTAACAGGAAACGACATTTTTTATTCTCAGTGCTTATTATTCTTGAATTTTTACCCATAATATTTATTCATTATGCATAAGCATACCTTAACCAGTACTATGCTACTACTTTTGTTAAAACACTATACTTAAGTTACTTTCACCATGGAAACTGGACTGTTTGACCTATTTGTTTCTCCCAATAAGCCATCAAGTACAATCTCACTGTAGAATTAAAAAGCTTATTTCCTTGTCATAGTTTTCCTGTTGCGCATAAAAAAACTTTGATAAGAAGGCTTCTTGTTTATCGTTTTTCGCATAATATTGAACAAGCAACAGATTGTCACAACTATGTACACAACCGAGAGAGATTTACACAACTACATACCTAGAACTTTCTGCCCCATATATGAAATTTCATATATTTTCTTTCATATCCGAAGCATTGTTGGCGGTTATTTAATTGGCATCGTTTGTGTAATAAAATTATGGTTCCCTCAGTGTTCCGCTTTTCATGTTGCTAAAATCTCAATAAGTCTACTGTCTCTATTGATGCTGCTATGGTGACATTACTGTGTGGATTGCCTCTTTTACCTTACTTTTTTGAGTATCAATGAGGGTTTCTGTTAACAAAATATAAAATATTGGCAAGTCCACAGCGACCAACCGTTGACTAGTGCCGGATCTTCCAGTTGTGGACCTGGATCAGTACAATAGCAACTTGTATAAAATACAAAGTGGCAAACTGATCCTCACGGCAAGCGATGAACGAGTAAATTAAACCAAGTAATAAAACAAAAAAAATCTATTGAAACAAGTTTGCCCAATATTTTGGTTTGAAAGACAAACCTTCTTCAGGGGCGAAAAGAAAAATGAAGATAAAACTGAAAGTATGTACAAATATAAAATTAAAACTGTAGATTGTGATTGGTGTAGGTGACTAAGTAGGGTTTCTGTTCTTGTTGCTATACACGAGTTTTATACAGTATACACATTAGCCTTGGGCTACGCTCTTGACAATGACAGTTGTAGCTTAAATTAAATTGACATAAAATATCTTGTTGGAGGAAAATTCAATTGATCTCTCCAGAAAATACCATAACATACCATAATGCTCTTTGTTTGTCACCCCCAAATTTTGCATAAGCATTGTGCTCAGTTTCTCTTGGAGCCATTTTAACTCCCAAGAGAAACTGAAGACAATACTTATGCAAAATTTTGGGGTGAAAAACAAAGAGCATTATGGTATGTTATGGTATTTTCTAAAGTGGTCAATTGGCATTCTTGTCGTCTCCTTGGGATGATTGTGGTAGATGTAATTGTGACCCAGCGTAAGATGTATCAGCTGTTTGCATTTGCCGCCTCTTTCTGCGTTGAGCCAGCGGACATTTGGACCAGCAGCAGCACAAGTAAATGGCCATCGCAAGAGTAAGTAGGATTGATACAGCAGAGATTATGCCAGCTTTGGCTTCATTACTATAAAAAGAAAAAGAAACGAAAACTAGAATGGTGAAAACAATTTTTGCTGTCATAAATGGCAACTAAATGAGATCAACTGTGCTGATCAGATAGACTTGACCAAGAGCCTTTTAGAAATTTGTTAGAGAGACAATTTTCTTTTTCTATTGGATAAAAACCTGAAAAGCGAGATACAGAACTGTATGTAAATATCCTCCACCTTTACGAAATTAATTTTCTAGAAGACGGTTTCCCGACTTAACTTCAAAAGAAAGTCATCATAAATAGATTCGGACGTTTCAGGCCGTCACCCTTAGTCAGAGCGCAACAAAGGATCGTGGGCTGTGTGTGGAATGAGCCGTAAGTATCTTTCTTGGTGGAACTTGGTAATATAAAAAAGAGAATAATTTAACAGCTTATCTCTTCACTAACAGACACCTTTGAAATATTGGAACGAATATTTCGTTTCTGTTCATGGAAACACGAAATTTTGTCGCAATTGTCTACCATTTGTAACTCATTTAACAACTAAGTAATGATAATTTAAGTATACTCTTGAGTAGTATCATTGGAATTTACCTTAGAAATACTTGGCAGCATTTTGCCTTATCGTTTTTGATACAACACACTCGATTATCCTTGCCATCATATGGACCTGGGCAATAATCACGGACATGGCCGCCCTGCTGCTCACTGCAAAACAAACCTCCTGGAAGGCAGCAAGAAGGAGCACCATACCAAGAACAACATCGCGTCTGATCCGGGGAGTCATACGATCGAGGGCAGTAATAGGATCGTAGGAGTCCTTTACCAGGACACCTGGTAAGACTATGCACTGCTGCAAAGAAATAATAGTAAGACTGTGACTGAAACTCCACCAAAATATTTTCCACCTTTTTAAGGGGAGCTAAGATGAGTAACTGCCCCCATCGATAGAGCTCAATATATTGTTTAAACCCTATTGTATGTTAGCAATTTTATTAATGAGTAAAGCCAGAGATCTCCTCTGAAAAGCTCAGCAGAGCTTGCAGTACGTTTTCCTGCCCATGTATACCACCAAAGACCAAATGCACAATCTGATTTTAATTGTACAATGATGGGCGTATAAAGGAGCCAAAACCCCTGTTACGATTTTAGCACCCGGCGATTATCTGTTGTCGGCATTTCTGGAAAAATCGTTTTTGTGCTACTTAAATGAATGTGTTTTGCTTGGTTCATTCGCCTCCCAAGCCGCGGCAGACATCCTCACTGTGTGGTTAAAAGCAAACTCTAGTGTACGGTTGTGGCTAACATGAATCTTTCCTGAGGTGGATTTCAGTTGCTGGCTGGTCCCAACAGAATTGTCCATGTTCATTTGCATCGTTAAGGAGTACACGTCCGACTGTCACGTGGTCACTGGCCCTTCTTCTTTACAACATAGGAAAATAGTAACGAACTACATAACTTAAGAAGCGGCTTTTTAAATATGAAATCGTTATAGCCCCTACTGAGTATGATTGTATCAGCTGAAATATTTGGAAAAGGAAACGATCGGAGACAAGCCTTGACAGAGCAACAGCCGCTAATATCATGAGTCAGTCATCTGTAGAAATTCTCTTTAAAATAATATGCTTAAGACTCATTAACCGAGATTACTATAATTAATATTATATGTTCATGTTAGCCATCACATATTTTGAAAATAGCATACGTATACTTTCTTTTTAAATTGGGGTTCTTCTCAGAAATGCCTATTAGGACTTGCTAAGATCTCCTGCCATAAATGTATCCTTGCTTTTACTGTGTTGTGAATGGCGAAATAAACAAATAGAGTTAATTTCATGCTCATGTTTTGCAATTTTCGCACAGATGTGGTCATATAACACGAGATGATTCCTCGATTGCTCCAAAATCGCTAACTTTTTTCGAATGTTCGACCTTCTTAGTCCTTTTATAGTGCGCAAAATTACCAGACAGCATGCTGAAAATATTTTTAAAATTATGAATTACTTCGTTTAGTAATACGAACTAGAAAGTCAAGGTGGCGACGGCAACGAGCAATTCAAAAAAGCAGTTGTTAAACGAGCAAATAACAACCCTCCTCGTGAATCACATTTTTTGGTACATTTCTTTTACGTTTCTGCAGGACTAGGAGTAACGTAAAATTCCTAATTTCACATTTTGAAGAGAACGTAAAAAACTGACTTTTTTTATTTCTTTGTGAACTTGGATATGCTTTTTAGGGATTCAACTGCTGGAGAGTTCATCGATTTATTTTACAAAGCGAGCGAGTTGGAACTAAGCGGGCTGAAGTTTTCAAAAAACGCAGAGGCACTTTTAGGTAAATGACGTTGTTTGGCGCCGCTGTTGCTTTCTTTACTTTCCGCTAAACACAAAGTTTTGCCATTAAACTTTCTTCACCCATAATTTTTGTCATTAAATCATTGAGAAATCAGATTTTTGGTGTATCATTAAGCGAATCAGCCATTCGCAACAGTGGAACTTTTTCCCTTTTTCCCTACTCACGGAGATCTTTACTAATTTTCCAAAAAAATTTCCAAGACACACCCTAAATGCTCCTAAATGCTCGTAAAAGATAAAATATTTCATAAAAAAGAAACACTCACCCGAGACTATGGTAAGCAAGAAAGCGAGAAACGTGATAAAATGACGATCTATCATATCTCTGTACTGTCAGGTCAAACTGAACTTTCCGGCCTCGAGAATTGCTGTAAAACCTGTCTTTGAACATCCGTTGTAGCTATCAACAAACAAGCATCAAACCGCAACAACGCTGTACAGGAAATAACGAGCCTGACATATAGGCGACGGGAATGGTATCTGCTCTGACTCCTCTCCATAAGGTTCCTTTGTTCCGGGATTGTCCCGCGAAATCATCATTTTTTTCAGTTTTTAAGCTGAGAAAAGGGATGAGCTATAAAATGATATAGTAGTACAGGTTTAAGCAGCTGGAAAAAGGCATTTCAAAACCAGGCATAAGCTTGGAATGGATCTTTCAAGCAAAAACTGTACGCATAATGTATTAGCTGCCCCAGCTGGAAAAACCATAGGAGTTTGGATTCAGCCCTTTAATAGACAATTACACGTGCAGCAACGTCTCTTGTTGTTTAACGGTGAAAACAATTTAAACGTGTTCGTTGCAAAACAAGAGCAAATTGTTGATTCAATCATTTATATGGAGAGGGAGGCCCTTTTGCCAAAAAGAAGACTTACGTTTGCGGACAGGATTATTTATACAGCATTATTCATTGCCTGTGAATTTAACGATATTGAAAGAACAACTGTATTATGAGGGTCGTTTTCTTCTTGGCTGCGTTATCTTTAAGAAACCACGGTAGTTGAGGTGGTAAACACCCCCAGAAAAGAAAAGAAAAAAAAAATCAAGTCATTTTCGCCCCCCACAGTGTATGTGTATGTAAACAAACAAGTCACCGGTTTGACCAGCCCAGACGTGGTCTTTACACAGCGGAGTTTGTAAATTGAAGCTAAGTTCGCTTGCCTTGCAATGGGTTAACCGTATCCAGAGCATTATAAGGTGCGGGATATTCGCTTATTCTTCATAATTCTTTTCTGTACTCTTGAACAGGGTGAATAAGTTGTTGCTGAGAAGAAAGTCAGTTTAAAGGCCTGAACAGCACGGCCTTCCCAACTTCCCTCTTATTGCCGGTATCACGGCCTGGTCTTGGGGCATGACGATGACGGACTTGTGATCGCTTTATTATCAAAAGAAGCATTCTGTTTAAAACAAATATAACGCATAACAAGAAAACAAACGTACAACGGAGTTAACCCTGCCAAGCAATTAAAAAAATTGTACACAAAACTAAAAAACAAACATAATTGAAAAGCGAAACTACGAGTTACATTTTGACTAAAATGTTGGATAAAGGGATTAAAACTTGTTCTTGAAGCCTCTTCAGCTTCCTGAGCACATACTGTTTGTACTTATTTGAAATCATTGCTACACAAGGAACTTTGACTGATAAACCCCACGTTTTTGTGTAAACCTACAAATGTTATTTCTGACGAATGAGCCCGCGAAGAAGACAGAAATAAATATTTTGACGGCACGAGATACAACGGGGCCTGGGTACTAGGCCGGGTGCACCATGGGTAGCCATATCGGGGGTATATAAGGCTGCGTATATCACGTGTACGTCATCTAGGCTTACGAACCACCCTCTCTTTGGTTTTTCTTTATTTTTGTTTTATTTATTTTTAGGAGCAACATATTCTCTATGACATTGTTAAGTCCCGTAGGAAGGGCTTTGAGCTTGAGCCTTGGTTCCTACCCAGATTTCCTGCCCGCATTTTTTCCCTTCGGGGTTTTTTTGGGCAGGTTTTTTCTGGCCTCCGTCTGACCGCATTTACTTCAGTTTGTAAGCGGTAGCTCAGCTCTGCTAGTTTTCAGTTTTTTCCCGTTTCTTATTTTCTGTACCTGTACAGTTATTTCAGTTTTGCACCTGCTCTTTAGGAGCAGGGAACCGCTCTTTAGGAGGCGACATAAGTCTCGTTTGATGCAGTTAGGTTGCAGGCAATGTTACAGACTTCTAGCCAGGGTCTTTATCCATTTGTTTACTTTCAATGTCCTGCCCTAGCCTTTTATGGCAGCCTTACTGGGTATTGGGCTACGTGCCTTGTTGGGTACATTAGTGGAGATAATTCCCAGTTTTCCTGGCACTCAGCCTCTGTGCTCCTGAAGTGTTCCCGGTCCCAGTTATCCGTTGATCAGAGTTTTATTAAATTTCCCCGGCCTAACTGGCAGCCTAACTGGCACTAAGCCTGCGTGCTTATTTGGGGGATTTAGGTCGAGATCGACCAGTTGTAGCAGATCTCTCTTTTGCTTAGCCTCTGTGCTCCTGCCGTGTTCCCTGTGCCAGTTATGCGTTGTCAGAGTTTTATTAATTAGTTTCCCCAGCCTAACTGGCACTAAGCCTGCGTGCTTATTTGGGGGATTTAGGTCGAGATCGACCAGTTATAGCAGTTTTTCTTTTTGCTTAGCCTCTGTGCTCCTACCGTGTTGACTGTGCCAGCTATATGTTGTCAGAGTTTTATTAATTAGTTTCCCCAGAATAACTGGCACTAAGCCTGCGTGCTTAACTGGGGGATTCAGGACGAGAGCGACCATTTGTAGCACGAGTTTTTTCTTTTTGTGAAAGCTAGTTTACGAGGGTTGTACATTAGGTATTCACCAGTAATCACCTATTATTGTATTTACATAAGTACTTTGTAGGGTTGGCTCTCGCCAAGCCGTCCCAAAATAAACTTATTTGCCGTTACGTTTTGTCTGTTGATGTTGTGTAGTGGTGTCAAAATACGTATTTTACTTGCATGGACCTGGTATTCACCAAATGGTTTTCCTTTTATGTTCTTTAATGCCCGTTTTTCTTGCCTTCAACCTGGCGCACAGATTATTAGCGTTTCATCGAGAAAATACGGTAATTAATGATAATGACAATAATAGTAATAATAATAATACTAATACTAATAATACTAATACTAATACTAATACTAATAATAATAATAATAATAATAATAATAATAATAATGGGTGCATTGGGTTCAGTGCATTGGGTTCAGTGTCAAAGAAGCTGGCAGGCCACTTGGAGCAACTAGGAATAAAAAACCGAACAAGAACGATGCAAAAGTCGGCACTCCTCAGATCGGCACATATCCTCAGAAAGGTGCTGGAAGTCTGAGGTCTCGGGATGAGACTTGACTGGATATTTCTCCCCAGGGAAAATCCCTGTTCTAAATGTTACATAATAACAATAATAGTAATAATAATTTAATCATCCTCTCCCCTTATGGGGCTTTTCAGGGATGATGAGACAAGTTATTTAAATGGAAAGTAACATGATTAAAAATCCAAACTGGTAGGGGGCTAACCACTTGGCTATTTTTACAAGCGTGGCCGTGGATTCGAACTCGGCACTACCGAGAACAACTCCAGCTAGCGTTCAGAGCGGGACCAGGTCCAGCGCTCTACCCACTCGGCCACGTTGCGTCCTCATATTCTCGACCCCAAGGCCTTCGGTCTTTTTTGGATCGAGAATAGGTACTGAAGTAAGCTGCTTACAATGCATGTTTATTTTTAGGGCGAGGGAGCGCTATGCAAACCCTGCGCGGAGTTATTTTTGATTTTGAAGGCAAAGTAACATTGGGAAAGGTTGAAAACGCATTCAATGGGGCGGGAGGGAGGGCTTAAGGCGAAAGAACCCGTTCTACGCCTAATATGAGTGAGCAACACTACTTGAGAGAACAATTGAACTCACGCACCGACCAGAAAAAAGGCTGCACTGTAGGCATGGATACGTGGGAAGTTACAAAGGCGGATTACATTAAATAACAAACATCACGTCAAGCAATTTTATTAGGGTCCAACTTTGCAAAGGTCTTAAATTCTTCACAGACAAACAGCATCACAAAATTCGAATTACTTTTGAGCACAAATTGAATCCACAACCAAAGGTTCCTTTTGGAACGGTGGGTCACCTTGAAGTTATCAAAAGATAAAACAAACTCTAATGGCTGATCAACTGAGGGTAAAAATGAGTAAAATGAGACAAAAACTGTCTGCGTGATGATTCAATTGTTTTCTATCAATAAGAATCCAAAGATGAATCCAAGGAAGAGAAAATACTGAAATGAACTCTTAGGAGGATTAGATAAATTTGGGATCCAAATGTTGGCTCATAAAAAAGAATACTGTGAATAAGTCGTTTCCAATAATACTTAACAGCGCTGAATTATTGTAGAACACTTTTTTGGGTTTCTTCTGACTGGTTAAAGAAACATGTTTAACGACCTTTCGATTACCTCCCAAAGAATTCGTACAATATAAGATGAAAAGCGTTATTATCGTTAGCAAATATTATATTGCTTGGGAAGCCAGAACAATTTTACCGGGAACTTTCCGACCAGTGTAAGTGAACCTGTAAAAGTGGAATTTCTTCCAAAGAATGTTCTCATCCATTTTGTTTTATTTTCTTATCTATCAGTATAATCCCAAATAAAGCTTTGATGTGGTAGACACCTGCAAAGGAGAAACGAGCAATTTAATCCATTTTTACGACCTTCCACCACAGGAGGTTGGCGGCAACAGAGTACAAGGCCACTCAAGTGCCTGCTGTTCGTAGATCGTCACTTGAAGCAAGTCCTTCTTCGGAATCTCCTCGGTAACCGAGTTCGCCTTCGGAGGTGACCTCACTTCCGAGGATGATAGTTTGTTCCCTTAAGCCTTTCAGCGTGTCTGACCGACTGCGATCGTCTTCAATTTCTTCAGGAGATTCTGGAGTGTCAGACAGCGCAGTTTCATCGTTCCCATCTTCCACCTCTGTGTCAGAATTTACCGGGGTGCTAGCCTCTTCTGCAGAGCTATCTACAAGAGAAACAGCGTCCGTGTACAGCGAGGCAGTACTGCCTCCTGCCGTTAAGTAAGCCGCAGTATCAGTATCAGAGGTGACATCTTCTTTGGCGCTCATAAAAGACTCTGTGTCACTGTCTGGTTCCGGGCTTTCTGAGCGAACAGGTATTGGCTGGTCGCCACGTTGTTGATTTTCGGTGTTACGAGGTTGGTGTTCCTGTTGTTGCTCATACTCTTCTTCCTCGTCTATCACAGTGTTAGTGGAGATTTCCAAAAGAGAGCCTGAAGGCGACATTTCTCCATTAGCGTCACCTGTATTTGGAACGTGTTCTGAAGAGGAGTACGATTTCATGACTGTGTACGGTTCCTTTCCAGGTCTACCTTGAAAGTTTATTTTATAAGTCACAGTTTGCTTGTCATCACTCGCAGATGGACGAGACGTTATCTTCTCTTCAAGATGTAACGCAGAGAAATCAGTTTTTGTGTCACCTCCATTAGCTTGCGTGACAGTTCGATGTACTTCAGACGACACCGCGTGTTGGGTAAACTTTGTACTTTCATTGGAAGCTCTAAACGCGTGATTTTCCTGATCAAAAAAAGGCTCGTTCATAAGTCTTGCGACGTTTGGTTTCACGGACACAACAACATTGCTATTATTACTGTGTTCAGGAATTGTGACGGTGCTGACGTAAGACTGTTTAGAGGAGACCACGTGACGCTGAGCAGTGCTTGTTACGGTCTTTACAGAGGTCTCAGTCTTCTCTGTCACGTGACGGCTTCCAGTGAATGACGCTGCCATGGTTCGTCTAGATGAAGGTGAAATACTGAGACTGCTGCGGTATCCTCCAGACTTCTCTTCTGTGCTCTGCTTTATGGTGTTCGTAAGATCCAAGCTGGGCATTTTAGGCTGTACATTCAGAGCACTTTGAAAAACGACTTCGTTCTTTTCTTGCTTGGGTTTTACGGCCATTAAGCCATGCTGTTCGACAACACCCACATAAGCAAGATCCCCTTCGTCAGGAGCAGTCATGTCAGGTACCGAGCTGACAGGATTGGGGATGTAATCTTGAGAAATGCTCTTGACTAGGGCGGCTTTAACAGGCGAGTCTATGTCGGGAGTTACGGGAACATGAAACTTCGGATTAACGTCAGCAACATCTTCTGATGAGGGAGCATCAGTTACATCTTTACTGACCGTTTCCAAGAGAACATCGTCAATGTTCACTTTTTGGGTCTCTGTCTTCTCAGTGAAGTCTTGACGTTTTGTGATCGGTGGTGCGCTCTCCTGAAGTTCAACTTGGTTTTGCTTGATTACTTCAGCTGTTTCTCGTTGTGTCATGCTGGCCTCTTTGGCCTCCTCAGTGGGTTCTGAAACTAAAAAAGTAAAATAAAAGATGAAGACAAAAAAATCACACCAGATGTAATTTAGAAGTACTTGGCGATGATCACGCCTAAATTATAGACCGCAATCGTCACAGTCGTCGTTGTTCACGGTCTTTTGAACAAACACAGTCAATTGAGGAGAACTGAAGAGCACAAAATCCCGTTTCGACCCATTCAAACAAAAGCTATTCAGCAATACCATAATAAACTGCTGCTCGTTTTTTCCGTATTCACGTTCATGATACGAGCTTTATCATTTTGGCATTTTGGTGAATGGTAAGTCCCACTTATCTCTCCCTACAATGTCAATGCACTTTAAGCAAATCGCGAAAATTAGAATATAATTACTGAAAATAAACTTTCATCACTGCAAGCTTACTTTTTAGTCCCTTAGTCAGCCTGGAAGTTACGTTCGCAAAGTACTGTATGATTAAGAGTTTTGAAACGATCTTAAAAATCCGCTTCTGGAGTGCTAAATTGTCCCTTTACCACCTTGGTACCCTGTGTAACTGTGCTTACGGAACTTGCGCAGAAACAAGCGCAACTTTTCCCAGCTTAACGGGTGTACCATAGGTTTTGGTACTGGGCTCCGTTCGCGCGCTATTAAGTAAATGAAGTCCTACAATGCGACGATTCATATGGTCTATATGAATAACCATTTCAATACTACATGTAAGGGGTTGCTGTAAGTTAAAAAATGTTTTCTTTGATACAGTTAAGTGTAAGAGGTCTAGATCATATTCATCAAGAACAAGCGTCTGTGTAGTAATAACAATCAATCATCGTTTTACACTGTACCTTGCTCTTGTTTATTTGCTGGACTCAACCCATCGCGGACTGCAAACTGCCTTTTCACCAATTCTTCGTTGATGTTCACATCCTGAAACCCCATGATTTATATCATTAACCAGTCAGCTTTGTACAGCTTTTAAAGTACCAGAAATATTATTTGTCTGCTTCTATCCATACTACATTAGCATCTACGAAATAACTAACACAAAAACTATAACGAAAAAAGTAATCATAATGCCAGGTGTCATTGTGCGGCTCCTGTTTTGGCTTGAATATATGTCGTCACCTTTGGATATTAGTTAAATATCCAATACAATGGAAGCTCTATTTAGCGTTCACCCTCTGTTATAACATAGCTAGAAAATTCGCCTAATCAAATTCAATAGCGCGAGCGTGCTTCATATTCCTATTGAGCACGCTGATGACGTCAATAAACTATTCGTAATTCCTCGAGTGGTTGTGAGCTTAGCAATCCTGAGTCTCCTGAGTGCATCCATAACTCAGCAATAGACAAGGAAGCGTTTACGATGTGTTTTATAAGGAAATTTAAGAGGAAACGTTTGAATTTGTTAACCGATAGTAAGGAAAAGAGGTGAGTGTTGTTGTTGTTGTTGTCATCTCCGCGAGCTGTGCGGGCTATGGCGTGAGTTAATTCTTTGCAAACTTGTTTTCTCTCAATAACAATTTTTCGGTAAATTAATAGTTTTCCGGCACCTAAATATGGATTTTATAATCATTTTAGAGTACACTTTCTCTCAGTTTCAGGATAAAAACATAAGATTAACTGTGAGGAAAAAAATATATAGTCACGTAAACATTGACGCGTACTGCTTTGAGCGGACCCTACAATAATAAAATTATAAGTTAACTGATGCATTGATCGCTTTGATGATGTTATAAAACAATTAGTTCATGCTGCAGCTGTGCGTATGTCGAGTTATTGAGCACTTGGGAAGTTTGGAGAGCACTCAAGAGGCTAGAGTTGCACTCGGCTGCGCCTCGTGCAACTCTTACGCCTCTTTCGTGCTCTCCAAACTTCCCGCGTGCTCAATATCTCGACATACGCACGCTGACGCATGAACTAATTGTTAATTAAGTGGTCAGTCCTAACAGTTGCAGTAGATAACTGTAGTCTGAATTTAGTGGTCGGCGGGCCATAATAAAGTGTGTAGTGATTGCAATGATTGACATTGTCCAATATAAGGCTTAATCGTTAGTGACGAATTACATGTAATCAATTATAGCGAATCCGTAGAGCAGAAGGAATCAAGAAATGTAGGAACAAGGAAAACAAACGGGATAAAACTCAATCACAAGACGAGTGTTTCAATTCATTACAAAGTGGAAACTTGTCCCTTCTCGGACGAACGGGGCCCCCTATGTAACAAAAGGTTTGACTGCTATGTAACGGCTTTTTGTTGTAAATTCTTGGTCATGGCTGGATTTTCTTATTTATGTTCATTTATTTCTTACCGTCTGTCCAGTAGTGTCAATCAATTCCAGACAAGGTATTTCACCACAGTAGTTCACTACTCTTGCCATCAATGAAACCCACTGAGCACAGTGACTAAGCCGCTCAAATTCATCAGTGGATTCTGCACTCCATTCTTCACCTAAAAAAGATCAACAGTGTTTAGGACTAGAAACAAAGGAAATCCTGAATGGAGTAGGTTGAATGTGCTGGTTTAACATGAGAATGCACTTTGGCTAACACTGATTTCAAAGGGCCCCTCACTACATTGTGAGGTTGTCATGGGAAAGGGAATAGGCTATGGAGTAAAGCCTACGGAAATCCAGAGTGGAGCCCCTAAGGTGGATTGGTGGTTCAATGGATGCCCTTGGCATCTCCTGCAGCTGAACTGGTGCCAAATGGCATGCTCCACACTCCTTTGGATCCCATTGGTGCAGCCAAGAGGGAGACTCTGATGACTGGGCAACTCAGGGTCTCCATATCAACTATCCAGGTGTGTGTCCTACAGAGGTCACTCCAGCATCATTATTTTCAGTGTCGACACAACATGGGAGGCTTGTAGATACGGGTTTTAAGTCCAACCTCCATAGGCATAGAGGAGGATACCGCAGACAGCCTTTGACAGTGGGAGAGGCCATCATTGTTCACTGGTCACCTACATTGTACTGCCCGTCTCAAGCCAGGCCAGTTACATGTAGGTGCTGACCTGCCAGAATCTGCCTGCCTTTATGCACTCCACAGCCACACCAGATGTTGCAGCACCACCACAGATTGACAACAGTGCACAAGATTTGTCTTGCGAGACGCCTGCCATGTGTGTGACATGTAATAATACACCCTATTAAAATCAAAACTAACGTAAACAGAAAGGATTCTTTAATTACCTGAAGGTTTTACTCCAGCTAAATAGCACTCAATAGCCTGAAATGGAAGCCCCCTGTGTTCCTTCCTGATAGATAAACAAAAGGCAATGCAATGCTTTGTATTCCTAGCGTTCACATCAGATGTACATGTAATTTAATATTAACAATGAAAATTGACTACATCTCTAACTGACAATTATATGCAGTGCCCCAAGTTGAACTACAATTTTTCCTATAAATCAACCTTTGGTGAGCTTAAATTACAAAAATTGTTTCCAGACGAAAGTGTTGGTCAACATTACACTGTACAAGAAAGTAAAATCAAAATAATAATAAAAAAATGATCGATTTTGAAGTGGATGAGACATCTCAAGGATTAATACTTAAACAGACAGATAGTAGACAAACCAAGGCATAAGTAATATTTCATGCATGTTTATCTCACTTTAAAAATTGCAAACAAAAATAGTAGCAATACAGTGGCTTGTCACATAACCAGGGCAATTTTACTGCAATTTTAATGTCCATGTTTTTTCCTCTTTACACGACAATCAAAACACGTTGTAGTTACTGCATGGATTGCTCATATCTACTGATTAAACCATTTGGCCACTTTAAAGGAAATTAAGATGGGAGTGTTTGCATAATTCTGTCTGGTACTCCTTTTAAACAGCATTAAACTATTGCTGAAAAAATGCAGCATTTTTTCAGAGTGTATATTATTTTCATGTTCAGTCTATACCAATATTCCTTTCCTTGTCAATGAAAACACAAAACCTTACCTCAGTTCTCTTAATTTTTCCTTGGAAATTTGCCCAGAATCTCCAAAGTCCACATAATACAACTCCACTGTTCCATCTGTGTTGATTTCCACAATGCGTGCTCTGTACCATGATGTATCAAAGTCAAATGGAGCACAGCAAATATCTCCAACCTAGGGTAACAAAAGCCACTTTTAGTATGAAGTAGATATATCTATATATTTTAATATTAATTCATTATTTTTGGAAAATTTGACAAACATTTCTTGCGATCACCCACAAGGGTTAAAAAATTGCCTAAAAAACCGAAACAACGTTTGATTTATTTAGAATGGCCAGAGTGCCAAAACTGGTACAATAGTCTGATTAATCAGGTTAATTAAGTGGCAAACTATGTTATTTCTTCAAAAACTAAGAGTAGATTTGGTATAATAAGATTTTCAGCCAACTCTATCTCAACAGCCACCTTCCTAAAATGGATACCTTGTGATATTCCTAGATGAACTAGTTCCAAAAGTGACAGTCTTAATGAGGGTTGAGGCTCTCCATGTTGTTTCTGGTGTGGTTCAATTTTATCCTTGGTTTAAATTTTATTTTCCTTTGTTTTTGGGTATGGTGATGTATGATAATGAGTTTGACACAAAGGAAAATAAAATTTAAACCAAGAATAAAATTGAATCCCAACATTTCCAAAGCAAAACAGCTTTGAAATAGAATTTATGTTTGTTATATTTTCTGGATTATGCGATTTTAGTTAAGTATGGGCTAGATGCTTATTTGAAATCGTAAGCTATTTCTATTTATTATATAAACACCAATGAAATACCAAGTGAGCTTTCACGTGAAAACTTGATATCTTCTTACATGGAAATAACATGTTATCTTCACGTGTGAAAATATCACCACTGCTATGGCTTCATAATAAACTGCACCTTTCAGACCAAAAAACTATTTAAGTAAAATGGTTTGGCATTTCATTGGTGTTTATATAATAAATAGAACGTTACATGGTTGCTTGGAGATATGAAATTTCTCTTCTTGTGTTGAAAAAAATATTTCACCCATTCGCTGCGCTCACTTGTGAAATGTTTTTCAACACTCGAAGAGAAATTTGGTATCTCCGTGCGGCCATGAAATATCCTCTATTACTGAACTACCTTCAGGATCTTTTTCAAAGCGAGTTCTACAGGGTTCGTACCCTTTCTTGAACAAAAACTTCAAGGACTTTTCAAGGACTTTTAAGGACACATTTCCCATTTTTCAAGGACTCCATTCAGTGCAAAAAAGAGCCTTGAGTCTATGTCTTTTTTAGTTCTACCACAACATGAGCAATTTTATCCTGAAGGTCTTTCATATTAGGTACTTGAGAATCTGGGTTGGATAGAGTTAGCACCGAAATTCAAGGACTTCCTGGCACCGACTGCAATTTTCAAGGACTTTCAAGGCCTTGAACTTTTTATTTCAAATTTCAAGGACTTTCAAGGACTTTCAAGATGCGTGCGAACCCTGGTTCTAGTCTTCTTTCTATCATATTAAAATAAGTTATCAATAACATGCAAATAATTTTCACTTGAAACGTGCTTAGTGCATTAGGTACATTGCATTTATAAAGAGGATTTGAGCAAATTCAAAATGGGTCATTGTAAAAAATAGCACCATCCTATCAAGGCCTTGTCTGTCGTTTTACCTGGCTCATCTTAACCCCGCTTTGAACAACTTGGCCCAGTACAATAACCACCAGGTTTTTGACCAATCAGAACAAAATGTTGTATTTTCTAAAACATGCAAACCTTGAAAGCATTAATGACTGCATGCGTCTCAGAGGATGAATAAAGTTGTGTCAATTCATTTGTAAGTTTGTCCAAATCAGGAGAATCTTTTGTTATAATCTGCACCCAAAAATGTCCTGGACTGTCGATAGCTGACACAAATACCCCATAAAAATCTTCTGTCTTTGGAAATTGTACAGTGCCTGTTGTTAAGGAAGCTGAAAGAATAATAAAATTAATAAAATGACAACAATTTAGTAAATGTATGTTGTGTAAAAAAATAGCCAATGAATAGGCCTAATAAGGGTGTTGATATACATGTAACACTAACAAAATAAATTTTGAATGAGGCTTTCTTTTCGCAGCTGCAAAAGTTGCGTCTATTTTCCTTTATCCTGCAGTTCTCATATATGATTTCCATATATTTATAACTTCATAATCATCCTTTCATGAGTTTATAAAGAACCAATTCAATGATCTGCTCCCAGTTGGCTTGTTGGTTCAGTTGGCAGAGTGTGCACCAGTATGGCAGAAGTCAAGGGTTTCGAATCCCGTACAAGCCTGAATATTTTCAGGCTTTCTTTTAGCAACTGCAAAAGTTGTGTCTATAACTGCAAAGATCTTTCATATAAAATAAATTTTACCAACAATTTTATAAGATGTGTTAGTGCATTTGTTTACATTGAGTGAAAATGATACTTGAATGAATAAATAAATAATTAAATAAAAAAAATCATAACAAAAGTAGTAAATATATCACAGAACTAACCCAGAGCAGTTTCCAATGTTCTTGGTGCACGTCTGTTTCTCTGCATTCCTGTATCTCCCCTACGAGCCCAAATTTCCTTATCTTCAGCTATCTTTTCATCAAGAAGGCCCTTAGCACTTGCAATTTGATCTGACGTTCCAGTAATAAGACACTTTCGTACAGTACTTGACAAGTTCTCACCGTCTCGATCAATTCTTATCTTTGCCCCTATGGTAAAAATACAAGTTCCTAAGAATGTAAAATATGTTTGAATTCTTCAACATTCTACATGTACACTGAATGTCTCCAGAAAGAAAATCATAATAATAATAACAATAAAGTTGTCAAACAGAGAAAGGGTAATTGAGCGATCTATCTACAAGTGTGGTTTTCCACCCTGACAGAAGCCCATAATCATACCTCCATCTGAGATGATGAGTATCCCTATCTCCATCATATGGGAGCCCCCCCTCCTACCAATGGGCTATTTACACATGTAATGGAAGATGTATTGCCAATTTTCCAGTTATAAGCAACCAAACTGACTTGGCTTCTCCTTTACCATCCTTTTCTGGGCTTCTATTTTTGATGTCTTTAGTAGAAATGTAAGGATTCTGTGGCTGTCTTAACCCTTTAAGCCCCAGTATCCACAGACAAATTCTCAAGATTTGATCTCCATACATTTTGTTTAAGAATTGGTTAAGAAAATGTGATAAAAGGGGCTATTGCATTTAATATCCATTCCCCTCCTCCCTGGCTGATGACCTAACTTTTCCTCTTACACTTGAAGATTAAATAAAATTGCATTCAGCCCAGAAGACTTTCATAAAATCATAGGCTGATTTAGCAACAGAACGGGAATGTCAGTTGAAGACAGCCCACGCAAATTAAACAAATGGTTTGACCAATGGCACCACGGCAAATTGGGCACCGGAAGTTGTGTTTAGTCCTTTTCGCGTGTTTTGCTGTCGTCATCTGACGTTCCTGTCAGCCTAATTATGAGTCCTAACCCTTAAGAATATGGGTGTACCCCTGAAGAATTACACAATGAAATTATGCAATTACGCAATGAAATAAACACACACACGGAACACTTAGTTCAAAAACACAATGATTTGTTTTAATTGAAAAGAAGCTATTTGGTCCTTAACGAAGAAAAAAAAACAAGGAGACAAGAGAGAAAAGCTAACAGAATCATTACACTTGACGGTAAAAATAGCCAGAAGGTTGAATTATAACATTGATCTCCGAAAACTTCGTGCAAACATATTCACCGGCCGCCGAAACCACAAAGTGGCTCTAAATGAAAAACCTACCGACTCTCTGCAATGATTCTTCATTCACAGTTCAATTTAGCATTTCAGTTTCGAAGACAAGGGCAATTTTTCTGTTTAAGATAAAGATTAAGCTTATTGAAATGTTTGAACTAAACGAAAGAATGCCAGGGATGCAATCCACTGAATATCAAGCGGCAATCCCACTAAAATTTTTCATAATTATACATAATTATGCAAATGTTTAGACAATCAACCAATCAAAATCACTACCCGGTTTTCGGGTAGTGAGTGACGTCACTGGATGGCATTAATGGCCAGTCGATTCAAACATTGTTAAGAGGAGAAAACGACTCGCAGCAATCGGATGAATTTCAGGCTAAAAGCTCCACTTCCAAAGAATTCCAGATTTTTTTACTCTACCTCTAAAGAAATCCTCAATTTTATAACTTACTCTTGAAGAATTCCATAGATACATACATACATGTTTTTTCTTTGGAGTCTTATACAATAAATAGTATATCAACTAATTCGACTAATTCCGAATTCCATGGTTGCTCAACCGGGGGAATAAAATGCAATAGCCCAAGATCAAAACATTTTCCCTTTAGTTAACACTTAATTAATACTTGAAAAACTTGCTCTTGATTATGTATTGATGTTGTACGGAGAAAATTTACCTTGAACGCTCTTGGGACGTAAAGAAAGGGTTAAAAGATATTAGCACAAAAGGTGAAACCTTAACTTTTGTTATTGACTACTGTCAAAGGCAACAATGACAGGAAATGTCCTCACCTGAAATGGAGCTCATGTTTCGTATTGTTTGTCCTCCTTTACCAATTATTCTTCCACAAGCACGCTGAGGTATGAAAACTTCTTCAGTTCGTATGACTGGTTGTTCCGCTATAATTTTCTTCACCAATATTTCCGCACGTTTTGCCTTCTCGCGTTCACCTTGAATAAGTACAATCCTCTCTCCTTTCTCGTTACCTTCTTCCTCATCCTTCATAATTACACGAGCACCGCTATCCTTCTCTATCTTTTTAATATTCGCACCAGACTTTCCAATAATTACTCCGACAGCCGAGCGAGGGACTTTCACTTCGATGGTCTTTTGATTCGAAGAGGCAACACTTTCGCTTTCTGTTTCTTTCGCATACTCGTCATCTTCCCCCGAAAAGTGTGAGCTTTGACGTTTCCTGTACCAGAGATAGAGCAATAATGCTATGACTGGAACTCCGATAGCTATCGCTGCTCTCTGCTCATTGGAAAGAGAAGGCATTCTTATTTTTTAGATATTGAAAATACAGGACTATTCCATGTGACACCAGCAACTTTATTTGGCCTTTTGCTGTGCTACCTGGCCGTCTGCTTCACAGGACACCCAGCTCTGTGACATAACATTTTAACAAGGATCATGGTTGCTACGGGTCATATAACGCAAGCAAGTTCATCCGTTTTGGCATTTCTGCCTCTTTTTTTGCGTGCGCCAGTCGTAAATGGAATGAGACGGGGAGGAAAGGAGCTTGGCATTCCAACAGGTATACCGCATGTATGCAATTTTATTAGATTCGATTTTGTAGCGTTCCATGTTACTTGTTCCAGGCTACCAGAGTCTTGGAATCGTCGGGGTTATGCGCGCAACTTGACTATTCTGACAAAACAGAGCCCTTTTAATTGATTTTTTATATTTAGAAAAGAGGCAGTCGATAGTGTATTGATTGACTTGTAATAAACCACTCTGAAGTGTGGATTCATTGAGATTTATAGCAATCGTAAGCATTAATTTCCAAAACACGTTTGACTTCATCTCTTAGCTTCAGGACTTCTCGATTACTTTTCAATTTTTCTTGGTTAAGAAGCACAACTTTTATAATATAACTATGTAAAAATAAGTGTTCTTTCAATATTTATTTCAAGTTAGTAAAATGCAGTGCAATCATGCCTCAGTATCTATTGATGAATCCCGTCCGGTGCTTGCTAAGTTTGCCATGTTTTTATTGCGCAACGGTTGCGCAACTTTCCGCAATTTACGGTCTGCGGTTTCCCACACGAGAGATGCGACAGGACAAAACAGCAACTCGTGCGTTTTAATCGTAACTTATCACAGGTGTAATTATTCTTCGCCTTCTTTTCTCTTCTTCTGGCTTGGTTTGAGGGCTGAAATGCCTTCCCATATAACTTCAAGTTGTTTTCCTCATTTTTCCCGTGGGGAGGTTGTTAAAGGTTTTGGGAGAGGTAGTAAGGAGTTAGGTATTCCAACGGGTGAGTTGAAACTTTTCGTGATATCATGCTAAAACTAACTTACAATTTAATTTTGCTTTCTGTGTAGTCTACACGAATTCATTAAAATCTTTTCATAGGCCACATAACTAAATTAATTTTTTAAAAAAAATTCGTTTGGTTGTTGGATGGCAGATCGATATGATCGCACAAAGTGAAACTTGTCAATTCACTGATATTGTCGAGTCAAGACTTCAAGTACAAAATTACGTACTCTGCAAAGTTAAAGTTTAGTTGATTTATCGGCCAGGTTAAAGACGCGAAGCTGTTTTTGTGAGAGACAAACTTTTTGAGTTAATATAGTTTGGTCATAGTACAAAAATGAAGTGTGGAATTTATATATTTGGGATGCATAATTTTGTATTTAACCTAGTTGGCACAACCACAGACCGTCAGCATACCGTTCATATGCATAAGCATGTTCTAACTTGATTAGAAGCATAAAACAGAGTTTCTCTGATGAAGGCTGTGTTTCTCTCTGCCTATGCAATTGGTTATAGGCCTAGACACAAAAATCCTGATTTTTCATGATTTTTGTATCGACACTAATGCTACTTAATTTCTTGGGTCTTTAATTTCTTGTTTTCCACGATTGAAAATAATTTTGTACTTGAAGTCTATAGAATACACAGTTACGGGATGGAACTTACTTGAATCGCAAAGTTTAATGCCTGTTTTCACATTTGCTTATTGAAGTCATGAAAATAAAACCCTGCAAAATACTAACTTTCCAAAATCATGTAATAAGTACCAACAAGGTAGGCCTATTTGGTTGAGTTGATCATTTTCTTGCCAAGAATAACATTAACATGAGCATAAGTTAGAAGGTTTTGATATTCTTTGTCCATGCTCATAGCTGTGTATCTCAACCTCTATGACTATTGTTTAACCTTACTGCCAGCTGGCCCCCTATACATGTATATTTATGGATGTCAGTGTATAGCATTTTAGGTGACAGCTCAAGAAGGGTGTTGGGACTTGTGCAGGTGTAGGGCAGGTGATGTGGGCTATAAAATCAGCTTTCCAAACATGAAAGGTGTTTGTTCAATTCTAACTCTTGCCTTGAAATTTAGTTAATGATTTACAGTATGTTTTTGTTTAATAAAACAACTTGTGTTCCAAATACATGTATCCAAATGCAAGTGCTGCACACAAAGTCCCACACAACAAAAAATCCCAGCATGTGTCCAAATGTTGTTTATTGTGTACTTACTTCTGGTACATGGATGTGTCTTTAGTTATGTTGTGTTTGACACATGAAGTTACTACACTATGTTTCAAGTGTTATAAATGTACAATTACCTCCAATAGGCTTTTGAAGTCCTGTCATTCTAACCAAAATTCTCCCTCAATTCTCCATGATCCATACATGTATGTACAGTTAATTTGAATCCTGAAAAATGTATGCATTTCAAGGTTTATGGAAAAAAAATTCCAGTACATTAAAGGTGTAGTAATATTGGCTGTAACACAGGCAACATTTTGTGCAATGTTTTCATTGTTTTATGAGGTGTAAAGCAGTTTTGTTCATTTTACCACCTGCGGGCTCAACTTAGTGTAGAAACATTTTGTTGCAACAACATGTTGTAGAAAATAGAAGAGTCAAGTACTATGCACAAAAAATATTGCAGCCTGAAACAAAGAAATATTGTTGCACAACAAGCTGCTCATGCTGGTACGTGGAGTTAAAACGAGCGACATTAATTTCCAACAATTGTGGATGAAAAGTGACTGAAATGTGTTGCCTGTACAGCTGCTTAAGTCAGCATCTTGATTTACATTTTGTATGAAGAGGTGAATTATTTGTTTCTTATCTTCCAGCAAACTTTCCAACAAATGTAGTGGATAGTCTTCCTGAGGCTATTAGTACTGGCATTTACTATGGCTGGGCAAGTGTTGACAGAGGACCAGTGTACAAAATGGTGATGAGCGTAGGATGGAATCCATTTTACAAAAACACCAAAAAATCAATGGTTAGAAAGTATTTTTGTTATATTTTGCAAATTTGTTGATAATGTTAAAATGATCAAGTTTCACACAGAAAGTTCATGAAAAATTGATCTTTGACCGGTAATAGTTGCTACCTTTACATGTACATTATTGATTCTTTTTTTTTTCATCTTCAGGAAACACACATTATTCATACATTTGAGGATGATTTCTATGGATCAGAGCTCAGTGTAGTTATTTTAGGATTTATTCGACCTGAAAAGGACTTCCCATCATTAGGTTAGTTGAGTGAAGTTCATCTAAATCCACCATCGTGTTGTTATGAAATTTGAATTTTTAAATTTGGAAGAAGGAGAAATCTAACACCAGCTAGAAAGCTCAGAAAAAATTCTGCGTTCCAGGTGAGAATCGAACTCATGACCCTCCGAGTTCTAGTTTGGATGCGTTAATCACTGAGCTACCATGGCAAGCAGGGTTGAAATTGAATTACAACTCCGACCAATCATCAAGGACTTGCTCGAAGTTGGCCATCCACCAGCATACAAGAACAAGACTGCTCAATATGATTTGGAAGAAAGAGAATTCTAATGCCACCCACAATTTCTTTCTTTAAGTAATAAAAGTAATGATGTATATTTTATTTTTAATTTGTCGCTTTCAATTTTCAGAATCTCTCATAGATGCTATTCACACAGACATCAAAGAAGCAGAGCAAGCTCTGGAAACACCAGAAAGTCAAAAATTTTTATCACATAGCTTCTTCAAAACAGAGGGTGGCAATGCTAATGGCTGCACGTAACAACTTTAACTAAAATTTGTGCCGTGAACTTTGTAAAAAAAAAAAAATGCATACACAGGTAAATACAGTGTAAGCGTCTGTTAAGAATTTTTAAAGTAGTCAAGCATGTAGAGATGAATGTCTTTTGCATTCACGCAAATGAAACTACCATACTGGATAAGACCCCAGCAACTTCATAATCGTGATAGAGTTAATAAGCCATATATGTTTTACTCTTTCTCGTGTTTTCAACAACAAGAATTTGAATTCATAAAATACCACATTTATTGGGTCAAAAAGGTCCCAGATATGTTGCAGCATTCTGTGTGATATACAGTCTTGTGTTTTTACAGCCTATTAACTGTATTAGATTTAGTCTACACTAATATGTAATTATTTTTTTTGAGTCACACTTAATGAAATAATATGAGAAAACTCCTGTAAATGACCACCGATAATACAAAGAGTTGTTGGTCAATTAATAGAAGCACTCACTAGTGGGGATTTTATTTTACAACGTGACCCCAGTGCAAGAATGCTGTAACACTTCTGGGAAATGTTATATATGAAAGCCAGCGGGCATGGCAAGCTTTATTTTAACCATTGACAATAGTAGTAATGATAAACACTTTGGGAATGAATCACAGCCTGATTAAGGCCTTTTGTCCCTTTCACTTGGCCTTGAAATTGTTCCCATCTTTAAACTGCGTGGTAATTTTGATTGGTTTGTTGCTATGATCTTTACAGACACAGCTCCATTCTCTCTGTATGTCAAATGAACACTTGGGCAAATTGTTTCCAGTATTGAAGGAATCTTTAAACTGCCTGGTGAGAATTAGTTCAAAACCACTTGGTCATTGTTGAACGTATTTTATATTTAAACGGTAATATACATACAGCTGATTTTTTGGAGTTCATTCTCTCTGAAAGTCTAGTGATCAAAATGTGGGGACAAAACTACAAAAATTTCAAGAAAAAGGGCTTTCAAATTTAGTACTTTTTTAGGTAAAACTAATGGGCGTTTATACCACTTTTTACAAAAATCCATGACAAATGTCAAGAAATTTTACAACAAATGTTCCAAAATTAGATCTCAAACCATTCAAAAAATTGACGTTGCGCCCCTGAAATTTGGACCAAAAAGAACATTTTGGACAAAAGAGAAAATAATGTCTGTGCTAGCGCAAGTGCGTGATCAAGCATTCTTAGAACGTCTTTTTGCTAAAACGGACAAAATTGACCCTTTTTAATGATGATTTTTGTCCTCTATAAGGAGTATATTGTTATGTACGTTATGTTAATATTTATTTTATTCAGCTCACGATGAAAATATATCAACAAATATAAGGAAGCACAAAATATATGTCACAAGTGAATGGAGAAAGAGCAATATAATCGTCCAAGTCAGATTGGCAGCAATGCAACATCTTGTGCAAGGCTCAGTATAGGCTACTACTGGTCGCTTATTTTTCTTTGTGGTAAAATACCCAAGCGAGCAGAACTGAATAAGGGACTACTCGTAGCCTTATGATCTTGTGCATTTAGTGGATAGTCTTAAAGTAACTGAGTCATTTCCTACAAGTTGAGTTTATTGGTGGAGAGGAACGGTTTATAATAGTACAGACCTAGCCTTGGAAGTGACAGAATTTGTTTTTGTTTGCCCCTTGCGCGCGTTTTCCAAGGCACTTCGCCGTCAATGGACGTTTTATGAGACTCTCTGTAGGTAATTCCGACGATCGCTATTGATTGGAACGACGATCTTACAGAATACATTTGTAAAGTGATGATCCCACTCCGATCAAGTTTGGCAACGTTAGTCATCGTTGTGGTTGCACTGAGCTCGCTTGTGGCGTTACCGCCCCAAAAAATTCATGACATGCTACGATTTCGTTGAAAATGCGACGATTTGATATAAAACGTGCTACAAAAACGACGTCCGCCGGTATCCATAGAGAGGCTCTTTTATTACTTTCAGAAAAAATGAAACTAAATAAGAACAATTTTCTATTGTCTCTGCTCTTATAGATCATAATATACGTAAGAGTTTTTTACCTGCGGCTCATGTTTCCTCTGAGTTGTAAACATTTTGCATCATTTCTGTGGTCAATAACAGTGTAGACATGAAGTATTTTTGAAAATGTTTCCCCGAAAAAGTCCTTGCGCCCAATCAGATTTCTCCAGAGTAGACAATCGAAAAACTTAGAGAGCAATCGTTTTCATCTCACTGTCTCTACTTTTCTTGTCCTTTTTCTTGGCTTGTCGCGGGGCTTCAAGGCTTGTCAGACCCAAAGACCCACGTTTTGGCCACTAGTCAAATAGCAGCAAATTTAGTGTGAGTTTCCTGCAGGTTTTAGCAAATCCAGCTACAGATCCAAAAATTCAAGACTTTTTCCAGACTCTTTTCCAAAACAATAGTTTCTGATTATTAAATAGGGGCTAAATAGCCAGAGAACCTTAACAAACTGAAGCAGCAACAAAGCCTTTCTCATTATGCGCTGCAAACGTGCGGGAGATTGAATACGATTTGACCAAAGCGAAACAAATTTCACTTATAACCCACTTGATATAGCTTTGAAACAAAAACCCTCCAGACTTTTTACCATTTTTGCAGACTTTATCTCCATTGGCCATTGTTAGGCAAATTTCAAGATTCTTTTAAGAATTGAAAGAATTGTGCGAATCAAGTCGAATCGGCCGTTTTAGACTAAAACGGCCTTTTTGCAGGGATCTTTTGGATCTTCTGGCCAATAGGCCACTTCCGAGTTCCAAAAACCCTCACTTTCAAAATGTAGCTAGGTGCACAACCTTTCTTGTGAAAATGAGTTTTATGTGCATGAGAATGAAAAATGATTTCCATATCAAAGGCTGAGCACCTACCCTCGTTTTGAAACAGAGGCCAGGGGAACTCGGAAATGGTCTAGTGTGGAGAAATTTGTGTCTGGATGTAAAATAACGTGGCTGCGCTAGAATCAGCCCAACTACTTTTTTTTTTCCTTCCTTCCTTCCTTCCCTTCTTCTGCTCCTTCCATTTTTCCCCTCATTTTTCTTCTCTGTTGTGATTTTCGAGTTAACCGGACGCAAGAAAATTGTGTTTTTGGCCTTTTTTTTATTCAAATGGCTGCAATTTTCGCTGACTGACGTTTTGAAAAATCCACTGGATTTACTTAAATCTATACTCAATACACACTTAGCTTTTTGCACCACACCATCTTGCATTCACTATTCACTGATCTGTTAATTTAATTTTGATGTAAAACAAGAGACATACTTGACATGACAATTATCTATCTGCGCTCCATCCTTATGTTTTTACCCTTCCCAGGAGCCCTTCCCCATACAGTCAACTCTTGCCTTGCTGACACCCTGATATAACGAACAGCCCGATAATACCATCCTCGGAGACCCAGGGGCAGTTAGTCGGGTCGATACAATGTTCATCGCGATCTTACAGTAAACTTTCACCACGAACATTGTATCGACCCGACTAACTGCCCCTAGCAGCCTCGTTCCCAGTCGTCCTCGACGATTTCGATGTGACGTCACCTATCAAACTTGTCGGGAAAAACTCGGATAGCCCGAACTGGCCTGGGTACGAGGCTGGGACAGCAGCTAAATCCCAGGAAAAAATAAATTGCAGACAATTGACTGAAGTACGCCAGTACCGCTATTACGGACTCTCGCTAATGAGGACACTAAACTCGAGTCCGCTATAACAAGAGTTGACTGTAGTATGGTATCCGCATTACTTATCCTGGCACTCCCATAATAATTACAAATTATTGAACGAGGCTAAGTATGATGTGAAGAATTTTGCCGATCAAGTAGAATGTTATCCACCGAGGCTGAAGGCCGAAAACAGCATAATTCTTCACATCATACGAAAGTCGAATACAATAATTGTAACTTTTTATTCATTCAAAATATATCTGAGTTCTTAAAATAGCTAACCTCTTGCAGACTTTCTTCAAAACTGACGACAGGATATAAACAGAAGTTTTCTTTTTTTGTGTTTTTTTTTTTCCTTGCAGATATTCCAGAAAAGGTAGATAACATTCATCGAGCAATATATTTTTCGTATTCTTGCATTTCTTCCGTTTAGTTTAAGTCAGGAAGTCACTCTATTTTGTCTTGGCCGATAGCCGTGAACGCCATGTTTTTTTCGTTCACTGCTGCCCAAGAGGACTCGTTTCTTGCCTGCGTAGCAAGCGTTTCTCATCGAGTTATTGCGCGAAAGAAGTAGCCCATAATGGTTGGAGGGCCTTGGAGCGAGAGCAGTCGTCGCTCTCAGTCCTAACTTCGACGAACTCGCGCGGAAACGCTTGCTACGAAAGTTACCTCGGGTGCTTACCATTATACAGGACCGACCTTCCAAATATGGTAGTCGTCAGTTAGTCATGAAGAATTAGCTGGGGGAATGGAGCCAATCAAAACGGGAAAAAATTTGAATGAATAATACAGTCAACTCTCTCTCAGACGGACACCTTTGGGACCGGCACTAAGTGTCCGTCTTAGAGAGGTGTCCGTCTTATAGAGAGTCAAATAAAGGGAGTAAAGAAAGACACGGACCAACTCTAGGTGTCCGTTTTACAGAGGTGTTTGTCTTATAGAGGTGTCCGTTAAGAGAGAGTCGACTGTAATCAGGGTTATAATCCCTATAACGAGCTATAAGTATTTTTCACTTAAGATGATAATCATTTGCAGAAATAAAAAACACAGTTGAAACCATTCGCCTCCTGGATCAGTCTTTCTCCTCACATTGCACGAAAGAACCACCAATGATCCTAGTACACCTTCAATTTGAATTGAAGTTAAAAAAGCAGCTTGTTCACATTCGCTGACATCGTATGATGTCAATCATAAGTAAGCAACTCTGGTAAAGATACATTCCTCTTTGAAACATCAAGTCAAAATTTCAAATTTTTAGTTCAATTTCCATGTTTATGACATACTTGTCCAAGTCCAAGTACGTGAATCAAGAATTATAACATAACTTCAAGCATTATGTAAACATCAAGACAACC